TGCATCCTCCCTCTCGTGATTTGACACGGAAGGAAAGGTTGTCATTTCTGGCAGAACAACATACTGAAAGTATATGAAACATTTCCATTTCCATCTAGAATCCTATTTCAGATGTAAATGGCCAGATAATAATGTAAAAAGCAATGTTCTATCCACTTAATACATTTCCATTGAACCGAACTGTAAATGTTGCAAACCAAAAATGTAACAAAGGAAAGAAGCAACCAGTCAGCAATGTGATTCATTCAGCTGCATATCATTCAGAAATGAAAGAAAGTAATAAAATAAGGTATGTCACTGAAAATCCTTCAAATATATTGACTGGAGACAGAAGATATTTACATTGAAACTTCAGTAAATAATCAAATGCATTTGTGTTTGTAGAACAGCAGACTCAAGAGATAAAACTGCTAAAAGACATGTAGACTACATTCTTTTTAGCTACAAACTGATTTTGGTCTAGAATCTGTAACGTTTGTTAGCAATTAATATCTGAAAACCACATTTCCTTAAGGTATTGTGAAGCTTGAGTTTTCCACTTAAACACCAACCAAGGCAAGGTCACGGTTAAACTTGTTCTCCATGGCCTACACCCACCTACCTGTATGCAAATGGATTTAAACATCCATCCAGTACGATCGAGGTGTAGTGGATGTAACAGATTTCAAGGAAAATTTATATGACTCAGTACATCCGGAATCTCACAAAAACATGATTTAAAAACACCCCCAAACCAACATTGTTTTGATTCCTGAGATACTTCTCGTGTTCTAAAATGTCACGTTAGTGCAGTGGTTCTACAGCATTGGTAAAATGCAAGGTTAGGGGGTGGCTTTAGGTAGTATATTTAGAGAAACAAGTTTATAAAATGCTAGTTTAGCCCGTGGGGTTTTTATAAGAGTTTTATGTAAACATTACAGAAAAAGAAGAAAAAACATTGAGTGTATGCTGACATGAAAAATAGCATTTCACCCTTGTGAAAAAGAAGAAGCACCAAAATATTTTGTGTGATTATCCATTAATTCAAAAAATACGCTTATTTAACAAAGCTGTGCATATCTAACATCTGTCATAATCCACAATCACAAAATGTAAAGGGAGGATGGAGGATACAATCAATCCTGTTTCCATATCACAGCGCTCTTTCAGCACTGAAACCCAATCCAGTTTAAGACAAAAATACTGGTTCTTGAAACATGATTAAGTAGTCTGCACTGCTACTCGCTCGTGCGAAGTAGGCTGTTATAATTTTTATTAACCGTAGCAGACTCCCTGCTCCCCTAGAGACAAACATCATTACAGTGGACATAAATGATGCCTGAAAGCGGGATGTCCCCGCTACTGCATGTTCTTCTATAAAGCGTATATATACAAACCACAAATAAAATCTAAGCAATATTACCTGAAAATAATGATCCAAGAAAGGCAGTATTTCTGCAAATACTACCATGCAAAAACAAATGGATTTTGGGGGGGGAGGGGGGGGTAGGGAGGAGGGAAGTCAGGCTCAAGAACAAAATCAGAAACACTGACTCTTGTGCTGTGAGCGTACGCAGCACTGGGCCATTTCTTGAGCCGCTGAGCGAGTTTAGCCTGGGCTTTAGCTTTTGTCCTGAAAAGAGGTTTTGAACTCCACCGTGTGGACAAAAGGAGGTATGCTGCAGCCTCAGAAAGGTTTCCCTCTTCCCAAGTTTATTACTTTCCTTAGGCAAACTGAGTAGTTCTGTATACAGCTATTTGAAGAAAATCCCAACACATTCTCAGTAGGTGATAATGCAACTTGCCATAAAATACAATAGTCTGACCCCGGACAAAGCTTAGAGAGCTTTTAAGAAAGGTTTAAAATATTGTGTCAAAGAGATTTCGGTTCAAAGTCCTGTTGTATGTAAACATTCCCAAATCAGAAAAATATCCTGTGCTACTGGAAAAAATAATCCTCCGTGTTTAGTTCCTTGCGATGCGTACTGCAGCACAGACTACTCAAAACAGATACAGAACTGATAAAGCAAATTGCAAAACAGGTTAACATCACTCTGCCCTCCCTGGCCCCTTCCCAAAAACTAAGACAGCATCAGGTTGAAACTGCAAAGAAATTTCAGGGGCCAAGCCTGAAAACCATGCAGAAGCACGTTTCCAGATACATTCTGCTTTCAATTCGAGAAATACAGACTAGGAGCAAACCAGCGTGAAATAAAGTTAAGCTGGGATTAACTCTGTTCTACCCCAGTGAAGAATGCGGCATCTTTAAAAAAGTATTGAGATAGCCCGTATAACAAAATACCCGTTTTCTCACGTGAGAAAATTAAAGTGGGCTTTTAGCAAAATAAAAAATTAATGCAACAAGATAATTACCAAAGTTACCTGCAAATAAATTCAAAGTGTTCAAATACATTTTAAAAAGACCTTTAGATTTGAGCCTATAAAAAGAAAAAGGCATCTGTGGGAAACATAGATGAAAAAATAAAACTTCTTCAAATATAAAAAGTGTTCTGCTTTCCGATAAGTTCAAGTAAATTAACATACAGCAACTGCATCCGGCAAACAACAGATGCTCGGTTTCAGCTAGCTAAAAGCCCCAAAATATACACATACCACTAACGCGGCGCAATAGTCGACGTGCAGCCTTCCAGGACGGGGGCTGCTTGGAAACCTCTCAGTCACGTGGATACTCTTTACAAGACAGCACCCTTTTCGGTATTATCACAGAAAACGAAGTTTAAAATTAACTTAGGAAGTAAAAAAATATTTAGATTTTTACCGATACTGGAATTACTAAAGAAGTAAAAAGAAATCAATGAAAAAAATGTTCATGCGAGATAACCTGACCAGCAGTTCATTTGACTGAATGGAAAACGGCATGCGGGGCCCGGTCCTCCAATGGTATATACACACCGACACATATAGGGGTGCACGGCCCCCAGCTTTACTCGCTGGGCCAGTAGCCCTGTGGCCCGGGCAGCAGCAGGTGCCTCAGGACAGACAAGCGCTCCGTTTTAAGCCGCCTCGGCAGTTCCCGGCGCTCGCAGAGCCACGGCGCTCCGAGGACCACATCTGGAGAGGCGGTCAATGCCACAGAGCGAACCAAGATGCTCCCCGCGGGCACAGGAGGTCTGGAAGGGGAGCGGCACGTTTTGAACCAGGCAGAGGCAGGAGCGCTTGTTCCGAAGGCACCCTCGCCCCGGCGGGACGGGTGCCGCCGCCTGCAGAGCGGAGGATGCGCGGGCCTAGAGAAGGTGCCCTGACGGCCTCCGAGGGACAGCCAGGGGTGAGCAGGCAAGGAGGTGTGAGGACTGCGGTTCGCCCGCGCGCTTTTGTCCCCATCCTCATGAGGGACAGACGAAGCACCCCGACCCCCCAAGAGGTCCCTGGCTGCAGGGCGTATTACAGCTCGCAGATTCCCTTCAGGCGATGGTTTCATGGATGCCACAGGTTTCTGCTATCCTCTTGCTGCTGACCTCTCCTCTTCCAGATGTTTACTCTCAGCCTTCGACCTCTGTGTTTACTTAAGCACGGCTCTTGTGCCAAGCACCTTCTTCCCTCAGAACGCCTCACTGATCAGCACATTAAGCGGCACTCCGAGGTTGCTCTCAGGGTACGCTTTCTCTCTCAGAACGTGTGCTCCCCAGCTACCCAGGTTACCTCTATGACCTCTTGCTCCAGCCTGGGTACAAGCGCTAGGGACTCTATTCAGAACATATGCCAATGTGGTTTGTTTTTGTCAAAAACTCCCACCAGTCATTCCTTACTGTTTTTAAGGAAAAAACCAGAAGTCAGCCAGATTAACGTCTCACAACAGCTTCTCTGGAACCCAGCACTTCCAATTTGGGAATGCTTCCCTGTCGGCTCAGTACTGCTCAAGCACGGAGGTCACCAAAACCACCTACCAGCCTGAGGTGGGAGAGAACGACTGGCTTCCTAATGGTGGAGCAAGAGCCCTCACCATTGCTTTTGTACTACGGGTTTATTATGAGGTTGTGGGCTATAGCTGTCCATGTTCTCTCAATAGCACCTTCACTTTCTATTGCACTGTAGCAAATTCCTTAGGACTAATCTAGGATCATCTGTTTCCTAATAATCAGGAGTGAAACTTCAGCCAACCCTCCCCCTTCCTTTTCAGAATCAGTCTCTGTATGGTTGATTTTCACCATCTTTTCTTTTGCTCAACCCTTCGAGCTCTATAGGATTTACGCTTTGTTCTGTTTTGTTCTTCATTGACAATGTCTGGTCCTGTAGGATTTACTCAATGCCTGCAAAGTGCATGCAGTCGTGCTCTCTGTAGTACACCTTTCCAAGGAGGCTTTCGTAATTTTTCCAAATTTCTCTTGAGCTCAATTTATTGCAACCAGTTATTAGGACCTGTGAGTTTTGCGTTTGACTGTTTCCACGTTCTTCTCAAGTTTATTTTGGCACACAATTATTGCTGGAGGAAGAGGAAAAACTGTGCATTCCGTAAGATTAGAGCCTTGTGAAGTTCCTTCTTGGCTGTCTCGCTGTGTACCACCACCTCTGCTCTAAAGCAAGACGTCGTCTTTGCTGTAAGCAGACATAACAGCAGAGTAGCTGGGTTACAGGCAGTGATACTACACTTATTAAGTCCACGTAATGGTTAGAAGATGTGCCAGTTCTCAGCTAGGAACACCACCACCAGCCCCTAACGGTTTAATATCTAGAGTATACGTAACCTTGACTAAATGAACATACAAGCCCTCAGTTGGGACAACATCCAGTCAGGAGAGACGCCTCTCGGGGCTACACCTGGCGAATTTCCAGTCAGTCCAAATGGTGGATGAGGTTAGAGATCATAAACACATCTTCATTTCCTTCTTTGACATCTAGGAAGTGAATGAAACGGTGGGTAGCGTTCGTGGTGCGCGACACGGACCTGGTTCAGAAGGTGGGCCAGAGCCTCCTCGAGGGACGTGAACGTTTAGTCTAAACAGAGCTCCCAGTGCTCCAGCTTAGGTCCTGCATTCGCCACGAACGGGTATGCTTTAAAACTTCAGAACTGCATTTTCTCCACTTAAACTTCACCACCAGCAGGAAAAATAAAGCCAGCTTATATACTGAGGCATACATACTGTCTCAAGTTATAATAAAATATTTTTTGTTTGAAGAAAGAAGCTTATGAAAATTATTTGGGCCTATTTTCTCCTCTAAGCAAAATAAATACGAGAAACTTAACACATGGAATGCACTCTGAAAAGTATATGTCATCATTTCATAATTACGACACTGCATATAACATAGGAAAAAGCTCAATTCTGTGCCTTATAAATTATCTACATACCACGCAGTGTCGAGGGGAAAAAAAAAAAATGCACCAAGTATCTAAAAAGATTAAATTATCTTATTGAGAGGAGTGAAAAGTGAATGTGAACACAAGGGTCTACGGGAGAGGGTTTCTACTTCCCGCTGGTGCGTGACCGAGTCTGTGATATGTGGTAATAGCAATCTGCTGGATTGCATCTTCCGTTGGGTCCAGGTGGCCCCTGCGGTCCGGGTGAGCCTGGCGTTCCCGGTGGGCCTGGCAGGCCAGTAGCTGGTAAAACAAAGCTACAATTAGCAGAGTCCTTGCCAGAGCGCGTGCAGTGCCCTGCGTTTCACCGCTGACAGCCAGCTGCACGCCAGCTCATCCGCGAGAAGGCAAGGCGGGTCTGACCTCACGCTACGACCAAGCTCGGGAGGAAAGGCACAGGTGTAAAACCAGCGTGAAAAGCAGGAGAAAAGCCTGTTGGTTTGTAAATAACAATAGCAGAAATAAATCTGGAGAATTTTACCTGCAGGGCCGGGTGGTCCAGGGTTACCGGGCAGTCCAATTCCAGGTTCGCCTCTTTCCCCTTTCTGTCCTCTATAACCTACACAGAATAAAGATATGAAAATAAGAGCGTCCTCTTATTATAAAGACTGATCTTCCATATATCTTGTTGACAGGAAATTATCAAGAGAAATGTAATTGGGAAAACACACGCTCACTTTTTTTTTTCCTGAGATTGGTATTTTTTTCTGAGACAGCTCTTAGGTTTGTCAGTTCCTTCTGGAAAACGTGAGCATTTCTAGCAGTAACTGTTGCATCCTCTCCCAGAGGACTCCTGCTATGTTCAGCAGCCGGACCTTCCCCCAAGATTTCAAGTTACCTTCCTGAAGTTCCTCTAATAAAGAACCAAATGCATATTCCGCTCCAGTGTTACCTGTTCAATGAAGTGATGTAAAGCACCAACCCAAAGGCCATCTGGAGTCTGACCAGCCCTTCTCTGGTAGCCCACAAACTGAGCGAGACTTTCCCCTTTCAGGTGCTGCAACTCATGTCCAGCCTCTTTCTTTTTCCTTAAACTGTTTGTAACACGTTTTACTAGTTGGAAACACTCTGGCTGCTTTACAGCAGAGGACTCATGGCTATCGGTATAACATTTTGCTTAATATTTCAAGTTAAGAATCCATCTACAAATGGACCTTTTCTATTTAGGCCACGTAATTTATGTAGGACAGGGGATGAAGGCGTTTTTGAAGGAACAAATGTGACACCTGCCTCTTTAGAACCCCTTACTTTAGAAGGCATTATAAGGAAACCCTCTTCCCTCCCCAACGCCTCAGACATTGGCGTGTAGTGACATATGTTGAAGATTAATTTGCCAACTTCTGGTCACATTTGGAATTAAATATGTTCTGCTTCAGGGACCAGTGTATCTAGTCCAACTGGTTAGCTCAGTTGGTTAGAGCGTGGTGCTAATAATAATTTCCAGTGTCGCGTATGCCATACAATAAGCTTCCTCTTGTGAAGAGCTGCAACTTAGTTTGAATTAAAAGAGAAGAGTCACGGCTGACCAGTCAGCATAGTGGTATCAATCCACCTGATGTCTCATGAAGAGTAATGGGCACGGGCAGATGGATGGCAAAGGTTGTCTTGTCAGTGTACTGCAGTCTATGGCAACACTGGTACTTTACAGGAGAATCCAGGAGGAAACTATTGTAAGCGCTGTGGGTTCCAATTCAGGGTTGTTACAACAGACACAATGCAGTAGGAACGGTACACAGAGTATTCAAGCTTTCTGTTAAACACAAGCTCATTATACACTTCGGTAGAAAGTCTATTATCTGTTGCAATCATTCTAGGTTTCAAAACAGAGCATCAATTATCTTACTCTTCTCCCAGCATCCCAACAAGGAAATTACAGTGAGGCAAAAACATTAGAAAATGCATGCAGAGTCACATGCAGAACATAACAAAAGGAAATCAACTGTTTAAAAGCTCACGGAGAAACAAACTGAATACTAATCATGCATTCTGGTCACTGAGTTGTGTTAAGCAGAATTGTACAAGGCATATACGCACACAAGCTATAAAGACTCGGAAGAGGGAATATGCAGGTGTTTGTATTCAGTTGTGAATCTTGATTTTGCTCTTCAATGATCACAGTCGTATTTATAACTACATCAAGTTGGTTTGCTCTGAAAATCTTGTGTAACGCATAGCAGTTGCTACTGTTTGAGAAGCTCAATCATACAACCACGGGATCTATTACATTGCCTATTTATTATATATAGCTCTATGTTTCTTAATTTACAATAGATAGTTACAGTACATTTCTCACTACAAACCCAGTTAATTGTAATTTCACAAAGCAGTGCTGCCACTCATTTGTTTTGCATTTCCTTAGTTATGGGGAAAAGAGAGAAATCACATTTACGATATATCACATTTACAAGCTCCATGATAACCATTACTGTAGGTATCTGCAACACCATAATTAAAAAGGGACTGAGATAGACTGAAAGATGGTGTAAACATCACTGGAATTCAAGACAATAAGGAAAAAAAAAACCCACAATAAGACAAAGAGCAGCCTGCCAATGCAAATATATGATCCAGGGTAGTGTAAAACATTACTGGCTGTATCTGAATATACATGCAAAGGTGTAGTTTATACACAGTGGCAGGTAAGTTCTGTTGACATTGAAGTTTAATACAAAAATTCCCAGATATCTTTTCTAAAAATAAGGCTTTATTTAACAGGTTGTAAGCATATTAGTAAACAGGCCTATATGTAAACAATCCGAACAATGTAATGTGTAATTCTGGCAGGAAAATATTTGATTTTTAATGAGGTATATTTTGCTCAGAAGTAGGGCCATGATTATACTTCTAGAGGATAATATCTCCTTCTCTCTGAGCTTAAAGTGACAAACTCATACATAGACAAAGGAAAATATTACCATACACATAAATCAGATTTTGATTTATTGTTTTTAACATAAAGGCACACATAAGATGCTGCCTATTTTTACTGGTGAAATTACAATTCCAGTAAGAGAAACCTGCTTAATTCAAAAGCCGGCTGCTTTAGCAAAGCCTTTCACTCAGGTTCCAGAAGTTTTGTTGTGATTTCTGCAACCCAAAAATTGTGGTATGTAAACATGTACCCAACGTGGGTAGTATGGTAAACACTTGGTAGCAGTATGTAGCAAGTATGTGTTCAAACAGATAAGCTTTCTCCTGCTCATAGATGAGTGGTAATAGCTAAAATACAGCTCTTGGTTTGGTGCTCTCCACAAACATCACGGTCAGAAGCCTCGCTACCGCAACACCCTCAGCTCTACTTGGAAATGACACAAGTTCATGTCTAAGAACTCAGAGCTAAAAAGTTCTCTCATTTAAACAGCTCCAAAAGGCATTCCACCTACATCATGGAGACCCTCTTCCATCCGCATGGATAATGCAGCACCTGAAACTAGCATGTCAAGTATCTAGAGAAATCTGAGGTTCTTTAATACAAATATGAGGCAAACACATTACCCCAACAAGGAACAATGAGACTGAAGTATCCACTGCATTTTACTGTGCACATACTCTGTATTCTTAAAAAAAAAAAAAAACCTGCAAAGCAACAAGAAGGGTGCTAAGAGCAAGCCCTCTCATCCAGCCTCCAGTGCGTATTCTGAATTCCTTCTGTGTGTTATAGCCCTCTCAGTTGAGAGGCAGTAACTGAGTTTCAAAATCGAAGTAAACCAGGTTAACTTCACCCTCCACAGCAAAGAACAGTTTACAAGAGGTAACACTTGAAAGCAGTGCAGCTATTTTGGAAGAGTGACCGTGTCTGGACAATATCCACTACAATGGGTTCCTGATGTCAGCCAAGGTTTCTAGATGCTCCCACCATGCAAATTAATAATAAGAGATATAAATTTTACAACAGAAATCAGCAATAAAGGTAAGAAATTTTGACTATTCATCATGTGGTACTTTTCTTCCCTGAATTGTGATGCTTGATTCCTCCAGGCTACCATGAGTTATAAGAACCTATAAAAACCCCTTAATTTGACAGAAACAGTGAAGTTTAACTATGATGAAACCTTCTTTTCTCTATTGAGAAAAAAATCAAGTCATATTAACATAAAGGATAATATGCATCTCTGGATTGCAAAATTATCCCAAGGTGAATTTGGTATAATGGACCAAAATTAACTTTCTGTTATAGTTTTAAAAATCCAGTTAAGTCAGTGGAATTAATCGAGCTAGATCCTCTAACACATGACAGTCTGACTGACTGCAAAAGGATGACATTGCGATAGCTTGTCAATAAAGTCTTGAAATAAACCTCCTGTTCCACTACAAGACGTTACCATCCTTTAAAACACATACAGAGTACACAAGTTCCTCTGCTCCCCCTTAAGCAGATGCTGTACATTTCACTTGTAACGCTGCCTCACAGTATCAGCTTGCTGGTGCATATGCCATAGGTTATTTTTTAAAATGAAAAAAAGAAAAAAATCTTCCAATCACTATTATACGAAGTGTGTTTAAATACAAATTGCGTATTTCATAATTTATGTTGCAATTCTTTGTTGTTTTTTGTTTGCATTCTATATTTTTACTGAGACCACTGTATAAAATCAAAATTATTGTAGCTGAACCACTGGGAAGTACCTGACGTATACTATGAGCAAACTTGCTGAAGACCAGCATGTAACAATTCTGGACTTCATTAGAAATGAATGACTCGATGCCCAAGAGTCTAGCAATTCCTTAAATACACTTTTTGAAGACCCTGCCTACACTTCCAAAAGTTAGTATCTATGGTTTCCGCCTCTGGGAGTAACCCCCTACCTATCGGTGTGCTGTGCAGAAGGAGGCTCTGGTGGAATCTGGCCAGGCCAGGCGGGTTCCCGGGGGAATGGGCACCACGCTGGAGGCGTACAGAGGGACCCCTGCGAAGCCAGAGGTTAAACACCTCCTTGGGCACACGGCGAGTGCTGCCCTTTCCACTGGCGGGCTCTAGCAGGCTCTCTGCTCAGTGCACAGCATCGCAAACCGCTCTGGAGGTGTTTGTAGAGGTCCTGTTAATTGCTCTCCAACAATATCTCCTTCTTTTCACTGGCTGTACGGGACAAGCCACTGTTTCATTCTGCCAGCCCAAATGCATATTACTGTACACAGCAAAATGTGGGAGTCAGCAATTTGGGCTACAACCAAGTGAGAATTATAATAAGGAATATCCGGCAGTCAATACCAAATACCCTCTCCAATGCATATTATGACTTGGGCGTACATGCACACAGCATGCTACCTTGATGGTCTCAGCCACACATGCACGTAACATGCTTCTTGAAGAAGTCTTGTCCACTATGTCTTTTATGGCTGAAAATACACTGGAATACGGAAGAATACTTTTCAGTCTGCTCAGAGATTTGAATTTCTGTTTACTGTTGGCACAAAACAATAACACGCACAGGCACAACTGGGAAAGGCATGAAGGGTATTTGTAAGTGTGCTTCTCTCACGGGACTAGCTCTTACTCAGAGTGTAAAAAGGAAGCAAGACAAAGTTTTTGTTTTCTTTCCTTGGAAGTATAATTTCATATATTTTTTGATAGAGAAGTAAATGCTTCTCACTTAGCTTACCTTTTACTAATCAATAAAGAATATTGAGCATACCAGTAAAATAAATGGAAATCCTGTGTACATGGGGCACTACTTTTACTTAAGCGTAAAGCATGAAAAAGCAGCTTTATTTTTTTTTTTCAAGCATAGCTATCATCTTTACTCTTGATGCTCACTAGCTGGAAATGAAGCCTAGTACAACGTTCCACTTCCCAGAAGCATCTGAGACTATCCACCACATACATCATCATTGCACAATCTGGCACTGACATTGAAGTTGACTGTTTACAGTGATCTGAATATTTAGGTAATGATGAAGTCAGTGTTGTAAGATTCTAAACCTTCTATTGTTTTCCTTGATCCTTTATTCTTGTTCTTCTCATTCTGAGCTCATCACATTTTTCAAGCTTCTGTCAGGGGTTTGCGCTTATCAATGTTAGTAAGTCTTTATTCTTCTGATAGCTTTAGGATCCACACATCTTCAGCTTTGCTCTCCTGTTCTTCATTCCAGTCTGACTTGCTCTGACTCCAGAGCAGACCAAACTAACAAAAGATAATAAAGAACTACCTACAGATAAACTGCAAATTACATATTACCCACCCACAAAATATTATTCATTGATAAATTCTTTTTTCCTTTTATTCTGTTCTCCTCTTCCTTTTAATCTCCGAGAGGCTGACTCTACAGTAGAGCACAGCTACAATGAGCCTGGATCCCTTGAAGCTAATTTTGCAGTGACAGACAGTTCAGTGAAACGAGAGTCCTATACTGTCCAAATGCATTGCAATGTGCAAACTACCATTTGGGATATAGTGAAAAGCTGATTACTCTGAAACTGATTAAAGAAAATAGATTACTTCACTGTAAGAAGAATTCATGTGGTAACATTTCAGTTCTCCCTGCTTCTTAAAGAATAATATTTGCCTTCAGTTTTTCCTCCCTTGCGTTGTCTCAGGATCAGAGCTGAGAGCACTCAGACTTGGAGATCAAATCTTGTTTCTTAAATAAGATGGTCTCTCAATACGGAACAGGGTCTAAATAGCTACATTAGAGTGCTGGCATAGTTTTTCTTCCTTGTTAAAGTATTTTGGAGAAAAAATAACTGCTACAGTAGTCTAGATATCTGTCAGTAATTAACTTCATCACTTATTAGAATAAAATGCACTGATTAGGAGTTTTTAATCAGTAAAATCCACACATGTACTATGGGTTAATATTTAGATCTAGTCTGGAAAAACATAAGTACAGTTTTAAAAGTTAATCATTAGGAAGCTAGATAGGTAATCCTGGCTTATTTAATAATCATTAGCAAGTGTATAAGGATTTCAAGATACAATTCACAGGAACATTTTTTGGAATTCCTACCTTGAATTCCACGTTCTCCTGGTGGCCCGGGCAAACCATCCTTTCCTGGTGGCCCTGGTAACCCATCTTTTCCTGGGGGCCCTGGTTTTCCATGAGCTTGGGAGGCAAGCATTGCAGCAGGCAGCTTCAGCTGGGATACAAACTGAGCCATCCTTTCTTCATTAATAAAGGGACACAAGAAAAAGTGGGTAAGAAATCTGCTAGCAAAATATGTGAAAATAAATAAATCCCAAAGCCCTAGCTAAAGTAAGTTCCTGGAAGTAAGGTGTTTAATCTTTCTAGATGTCAAGGTATTAAATGCACCTATAAGTACTGAGGCCTTCAGGTCCAACTCAGACTCATGTCTGAGTCTTCACCCTTTGAAATAATCTGAACAAATTTGTACTAAGGTTTCTATTACTACTCTCTTTTGCTACTGTAATCCAGTATTTCAAATGACTTCTGACTCCTGTTCATGGAAGTACTTAAAATACATGAACACAGAATAATTACTACTTAACACTCCTATGAAGGGCTACCTATATGTTTGTAACTCATATTAAATTGCAAAGTAGAGCTTAAAGACTGCCAGCAGTTCTTGGAATGTGCTGAAACCCTGAAAACAGTTGGGAAAAAACCTGTAAGTGCTCAACAAACATTATTAATTGCAGAGATTTCAGCACAAACTGTTCATGCTGGTGGAATAAAGTCCACTTGGTAATTTTAGTGTTCCTTAGAGGTAGACAAAATAGGTACTAACCTTGAATCTGTCTCATTTATACCGGATTAAAAAACTTAACTAAGCATTCCAAAATTTAGCAGGTATTTACTGTGGTGGAGTTTTAAGATTTAAGAAAAAAATTAGAGTACAGAGAAGAGCGGGTATCAAAAAATAAGCAAGGTGATAGAAAATAGGCAAAGTGAAACAAAGCCAAAACCAGATGATCTGTGGGAACACTAGTAAGGTGTAGAAAAAGGAATAGCTATAAAGACAAAACCCAATATTCCCTGTAGGCAGGACACCTTTTAATAATTTCTTTATAGGAATAGCCTAAATACTTGTTACCATTCCATTTGAATGGGAAAAGGAAGTAACTTCAGCCAACAAACTGTTCTTGAAATACATAGTAGGCTGAACTCCTAAGGGGTAGCAGTCTGGGGAAGGATGAAAATAGACAAAATGTTAGCCTTGGTATAAAGTGAAAAACTGCCTGAACAGTTTAAGAAGTCCCAAGCTTTATAAAATTTCTTTTATCCCTGAAAGTCAAAATGTTTTATAACCACAAATATTAATGACAATATAGCTAAGCATATTGCAGACGTAAGAAATGCATTCCGCAATTGAAGAGAAGCTACTGTTAAGAGGTGTTTGAGCAGAAGCTTGTTTCAGACACCTACTTGAGTCACAGCTTTTCAACCCTGACTAAGAAAACGCTGGGGAAGAAAAATATTTCCTTTTCAGAGTAAGGACACACCTAAGAAAGTTTACATGGTACAAAGGCCTTGGCTGAGTCTGGTACTTGCCTAAAACTGTGCCAGAAGATGGTATAATATGATACATATATGTATCTACAATGATACATATATATATTTGCTATTATGATTTTAAGCAAACTACCTTCTAATGCTAATCTTTTACATAAGGAAATACTCTAGTTAACAGATATGTTACAACAAATCTATGATTGTTTGAACATGATTATATTAAGTAGACAACAAGGCAGCTGCTAAGTCCAATATAAGTTAGACGACATGAAGAAATGTATATAAAGGCTATAGGGATGTAAAACATTTAGAACAGCATTTTAGATTTATGTTTAGTTGTATAATACTTCATTTTCTTACCTTCAAAAACCTTAAGAACCTCTTGTTTGATATATTTTTTAATTTCTTCAAGTGAAACTGCATCAGCCTGATGAGGACAAAAAAAGGTGATATGTATCAGAAGAAACATACAGAGGGCACTTTATAATGCTACAAAAATAAAAAAATGCTGAAATTACCATTAAAAATGTAAAGCTTTCATTGAAAAATAAATACGTTAATATATTTGTGTTATTTACTTAACTGCAAAGGCCACTTTATTGCAAATACATTATAATATTATAAAGACCACTAATACTAAGAAGTGGAAGAGGCACTCCCAACTGTCAAGATGATCAGCATGTTATGTGTATGGAAATTAATTTGCATAAGACAGTAAGGATGTCCAGTGACACTGCTATGCTTTACTTGCCTTTTGCATAGCATTTCCCAACTTCTCACCCCCTCTAGGGACTAACCACTTTGATGCACAGTTGACTAACTAAAACTGCACTACAGGACCAATAACTTCACTGGAAACGTTTTTTAGAGCTTTACCCTACCTGACTGAGGATAAAAAGAACCCATAACATGAATGTGTGCCTGTGACAAACCAAGATACCTACAGCTGACAGGCAGCATTTCATTGTCTTTTGAAATGCTGATTTCCCTTTTATTGATAATCATTTTTGTCTGTCTCATTTCCTTTCTCAATTGCAAAGACTTACACTTTAGCTCTTAATCTTATGAAAAACTTGAAAATTAACAGTATTGAGTAGCCATATTCATTCGTCAGGAGCTAAAGAAATAAATAATTAAAGTTTGTCCATAGCACATGTTTAAAAAAAAAATTAAAAATAACTGCTTGATCACCCGGGTATATTTTTTTCACCTCTTAACTGAACACTGAAATTATCTCAGACATATCTTAGTTTTTCTGATACTGTGATATTGTTTGGTTGAATTTCCACTGCTCAGCACATGCTACCTTCACGTCAGATGTCTGAATTCACAAGCAACCAAGGAAAACTTGTATTTACTTACTGGAAACCCTGGGGGTCCTGGTGAACCCGGGGGACCTTGATGACCTGGTGATCCTGGATAGCCTCTGTCTCCTGGTGGCCCAATAGGACCCACATCCCCTTTTTCTCCTGATGGGCCAGGTTTCCCTCGTTCACCTTGTGGACCTTTGTCCCCTGGAATACCCTGATCTCCCTGTGTAAAATAAAAGCAGAAAGAAATCCATTGCACACAGTGAAACAAACAAGGAAAGGTCACCCAAGAATGCTAAAGAGAAAATTCTTTCCTGTTCAGAAATAGATTTTATGAGTCATGCAGGGAAGCTGATCTTACAGGCTAACCCTTATCTCTGAAAACACAGCAAGTAACGTTTTGTTTTCTTACACTTTTAATGTTGAAGTCAATGACAGAAAAAAATAGCTTGACTCTGTAACCCGCTTTCCAAGGAGAGAACTTGGGTGCAGAAAGTTTATAGCCCTTATATGAGCATCTAGAAATGCCAAATATGGCACAGGTAGAATTAAGGTGCTCAAATTCTCCCAGACACAAGGCATCACGCTTTTTTCTGTAACTTTCCCTTGAAGCCTAATATTTTATTTCTGCATGTACACAAAATTTCAGTTGATACACAAATCCGTTCATAACAAGTGAATCCCTTGCAAACAAAATAAATTAAAGGTCAATGTTCTGGCCAGCAACAGCTTCCATCATGGCTGAGATGGCATTTAAATTTATTTATGAGGAATTAAATCTTTTAGAGTGACTTAATGTATTAGCTATTAGTTCACTGAACTACAGCTGTGGAGCAGAGTGCTGCAAGTCACACATTCAGATTGTTAATGAACAGCTGGCAGTTCTTCAGGGTCACTGACTGCCCTTGCTACATCACTTAAGTTAATGTTAGGCTCCACCATAAGCAGCAAACAGCATCAAGAATTGACTACATCATTACTAGATAAATCCAGAATCTACATTTATGAAGGGTGAATGAATGGAATTAATTGCATTCTTAACCTACAGCAAGTGCTGGTAAACTGTATTCAGATCTGAAACATCATTGACTGATAAACCAATAAAAGTGTAGTTGTATTCTTAAGTCATATTAACATGACGTGTAAAGACTGAAAAAGAAAGGAAGGAAGGTAAGGATTTCAAGTAGGTGGTTATATAACATTTTAATCACCTATCTGTCCTCCAATCTATATGATTTCCAGTGAGTTAGAGCTTATTACTGACTGTAACTAAGCTTCACTACAAAGACCACTGTAACTTGTGATGTTTTACTGCATTAACTCAAACCATAACGCGTTCCCAACTGGAGATTAAATTGCCCTCAGTAAGAGTGCAGAGGCGCTAAACTCTGAAAGTCTACCACAAGAAAAACACCCAAGGGTCAAAATCTGAGACCTCATCATCTCACACCTATAATTTTAAGCTCTGTGGTGGGTTGACCTTGGCTGACTGCCAGGTACCCACCCAGCTGCTCTCTTACTCTCCCTCCTCAACAAGACAGGGGGAGAAAATGAGATTAAAAGCTTGTGAGTCAAGATAAGGACAGGGAGATCACTCACTAATTACCATCAGGGGAAACCAGACTGAACTTGAGGAAGATTAATGTATTGCAAATTAATAACCCAGCAGGATAGTGAGACCTTCTCCTTGACCCACCCCGCTTCTTCCCAGGCTCAGCTTCACTCCTCACTCCTCCACCTCCTCCTGCCAAGTGGTGCAGGGGGATGGGGAATGGGGGTTGCAGTCAGTCCTTAACACTTCATCTCTGCTGCTCCTTCCTTCTCACATTCTTCTCCTGCTCCAGCATGGGGTCCTTCCCATAGGATACAGTCCTTCATGACTGAAGCCTTGATTGGCTTAGAGTAGATTTGGTAGTGTAGGTCAATGGTTGGACTGGATGATCTTAAAGGTCTTTTCCAACCTAAACGATTCTATGATTCTATGAATGGACTACTCCAGTGTGGGTCCCCCATGGGACACAGTTCCTGCCTGAAAACCAGCTCCTGTGTGGGCTCCTCTCCATGGGCCGCAGGTCCTGCCAGGAGCCTGCTCCAGCGTGGGCTCTCCATGGGCTGCAGCTTCCTTCAGGGCACATCCACCTCCTCCAGCAGCTCCACGAGCTGCAGGTGGATATCTGCTCCACCATGGTCCTCCATAGACTGCAGGGGGACAGCCTGCTTCAGCATGATCTTCTCCACAGGCTGCAGGAGAATCTCTGCTGCAGTGCCTGGAGCACCTCCTCTGCTCCTTCTTCACCAACCTTGGTGTCTGCAGAGTTGTTTCTCTCACATATTCCTACTCCTCTCTCCCAGATGTTGCACAGCATTTTTTACCCTTTCTATCACACAGGAAGTACAAACGTCACTCATGGGCTCAGCTTTGGCCAGCAGCAGGTCTGTCTTGGAGCTGGCTGGAATTGGCTCTGACATGGGGGCAGCTCCTAGTGTCTTCTCATAGAGGACACCCCTGCATCCCCCCTGTTACCAAAATCTTGCCACATAAACCCGATACAATCTGTCAAACTGCTAACATGATCACATAGTCAGGGAAGTCAGTGTGACATGGAAACAATCTCCATGTGATTATGTTTATTCTGTTTCTCTTAAAAGACCTATCCTGTCAATACTGCAGACATCTGATTTCCAGTTTTAGCTTCTGGGCATTAATACTTTGGGCAAAACTCTAAATATGCAGCGTATGAATGATTTCCAACAAACATACAGCTATTTAGCTATTCAGTAGAAAAAAGACAAGATATGATGTGATATACAAAAGACACCTGTAACCCTTGTCAAAGACTCTCAAATTTTCAACAGTTGATGGGAGCAGGAAAGGGAGCGTATGTGCATTGGGGGAACTGGAATAATAATATTCTGATGGAAGAGGTTTACCTTTTCAGGTTTCTATAAATTTTAAGATTTATAGGAAAAAGTGTTCTGCCCTGCACAGTTGTATCAGGATGTGTACTGCAACACCTTGAGAAATTCAGGGCAGAGGAAGAATTCTGACTGAGAAGCAGAACTTTTGTAGTCTGCAAGGAAGAGGCTCTTTCCTGGCCTTAACAAAGTTTTTGCATCCAACCTCCATCTCCTGCTTCACTCATAGCAACCTGAAATATTATAAAATTGAAGAACAACTCCTGTTCTACCACATGTTATTGTAAAACTTGAAAGAGGTATGGCCTTTAACGTAACTTTTACTTTAGTCACTTTTTTGGAGATTGAAGTCCAGTATAGCGAGCCACTGAACACATCATTTTGTCTGATAGTGCTTTCAAATGAGACCACACACACATGCATGTACCCACATAGATAAAAAAAGCTCTCTGAAGATTACTATACTTACAAGAAGCCTTCATTAAAAATGTATTTAAGGCATAAATATACATATATAATTTCTCAGGTTTATAACCCGGCAGAGTAGGTATGGATAGCTATTCTACCAGAAATAAAGAAAAATGCAGGTTTCTCTAAGAGCGTGGTGCTATGGCAGTGTGAAGCTCATCCTGGAATTGCTTTTCTTCTAAACAATTCCCATTTTACAGGCTGTCAATGTGCAGGAGGCAGATCAAATACTAGAGCCACTTTTCAAACAAGCATTTTTTTAACTGCCTCCAGTGTCTTCTTTGTGTTTGGAAGAAGCTCCTTGTAAAAATTCACAAAACTAGGTCATCTCTTCCTCCAGATTCCTCTTTAAACTCTCCTTCACTAAAACAGGGTAGGACATTTGCGTTTTGTCATCTCTGCCTACAGTGCTGATTTATTCAAGTCCTCCTCCTTTCTAGTGTTCTCCCATCTCTTGCATTTAATCTGGTACTAAATTCTGTGCAGAAGGAGCTACTGTTTTGCCTGAGTTTCTACATGTTCTAGTCCAGCAGGCTCCCAGTCTGTGATCAAGGTGCACAGATAATAGCAATAAATGAGCCAGCCACCAGTACTTTAATCTGTTCTTGAAATTACTTGAAAGGCGTATTTCTGATTGGTATAAATCATGTTTTCAACTGGTTTGTCACTCAGTTTATAAAGCAGTAATAACAGCAGTGTTTAGTCACCCAAAGGATGTATAAGAGTATTTCAGCCCAGGTGACTTCTTCCTTCTTAAAACGGATTCTACAAGGATATAATTATATTAGACATGAAAACCTCAAGAGTTTTATTCTGTCCTTCCAATATTGATGCTTCTCTTTTCTGTAATTGCAACAGCTGGTCTCAAACTGAAGGAGTACGCTGTACAGCAGTAATAATAATGGCTGCAAGAAAACCTTGACTTTGTGTTATTTTCTGTAATCATTGCAATCTCTCACAGATGCAGGTCTGTAATACCTGATCCAGAGGAAAAAAAAAAATCAACTCCAACTCCCCCACTGATCTCTTACCCGAGATGCAGATGACAGCTGTGTATTTTGCTGTTATTTCTTAGGCAGATCTCCCCTTGTTTTCAACAAACCTTTTCTTTTCCTGCAGAACTGTGAGGAACAACTGACAGCTTTCTGAAAACTGTATTCAGATACTACATAGGGCATATTTATAACTTTCCTGTTATAAAAGGTTGTGAGAGAATTTGATTATCACTTGAGACAAAAATACTTCAGGAAATAGATTTATTCTTTAACAGGTATCTATACATTTCCTTTCTTTTTGAGTATATATATGTATGTGCGTGTGTATATATATATGTATTCATTTTACTCTGTACAGAGAGAGCTAGATCATGACATGTTTGTCAGTGATCCCAGAAGTGAGAGCAGATTCAGGCATCTGTGACCTCTCTGAGAGCAAGCATATATCCATATTTACATCTATAGCTACATGTACATGTGTGTATGTATGTACTCGGTCACCAATGAGACTGGAATAAATACACCCTCTTCTCTTACCCTGAAGCTTCTGAAGTTTCACTCTGATGAAGCAAGCTAAGACTGTCTCTCTGTCTCTCACAGAGTTTTTCAACATCTCCTCCCTGTCAGTATGTTTCAAGGTCATGCGCTTACAGGTCCAGCCTCCTCTTCTGGTTGTATGTGTACAGTCCTATTTGCAGGGCATTCAGACACGCTGACACTGAGAAGGGTCAAGGCTGAGCAGTGTAATGCAGTACACAGTAGGTGGTACAATAAGAAGGTTCTTACATTTTATTTGTGTCCTTAAAGGCAGAAACAGAACATTGCAAACTGTTAAATTTTTGTAAGGGACAATTACTGTAATAATGGTTAAAACCTCATGTCTCCTCAGTGTCATAAAGCAGCATTTCCTTTTCCAGATTACATGGGGAGGTGCTTTTCCGATTCATCAAATAAATGTGGTATCAATTGGATTAGGACATCAGGGCTTTAGCAACGTTTTAACAGGAGCAAAGTATGCTCTAGGATTTGCTTTGCTCTAGCAAAATAAAGGTCATGCCTCACCTCCTGTAATGATTCCTGTCCACCACGATCTTGTTACCATGAACAGAACTGTCTACACATTTTGGGAAGCAGTGAAGTATTGCTTTGGCATTCCTGCTGCCTAAATGAAACAACCTTCTCTTATATGAACCATGATTTGTGTTTGTGACATACAAAGATTCCAGGGATGATGATAGGGCAAGCTTTATAGCTCTTGCAAAGTCTGACAGCATCACAACGGGATTAGCTACTTTCTAACTTTCAATCTATTGATCAATTTACACTGTCCAGGCCAACTGTGTTACGAAGTCTATAAAACGTGGTTTTCCTCTAAATGCAGAAGCAATTCAATTCTAATTCCTTAAAGCGGTGTCTAGGACTTAACCTCTTAGTTGTCTAAGAGACTGCTTGAAGTTCACAGAGAAATTGGTTTTGCCTGTAAAATATGCGCTGATGAGGTGCTTAGATGCTCAGTAAAAAGAAAAAATGTTATTAAAACAAGGGACTTACACGTTCTCCTTTGGGTCCTCTGTCTCCTGGTCTCCCCACAGCACCCTGGAAAAATTGTTTTTGAAAAAAGATAAACATATAACTTAAAGGCTTTTTTGTATATTCATCTGTTAGCAGAACTGAAAGCAACTGCCTAGGATTAACAGCTATGGTATCTGTGAAGAATAAAATACACTAGTATGCAAAAGCATGTTTTCCTACCGGAGGACCTGGCAATCCATCTTTTCCATTGATTCCCTATAAAAAAAAAAACAAAAACACACCACAATTTTTGAATAAATACGATTATGGATATGCATTTTAAAAATATAAAGGTTAAAACTCAATGTTTAGTGCTAGTATCAGTACATATTCTGAAGCTGCAGAGGCAGCAGTTTGTGTGGTTACAATATAGAAATACAAATAGCTGAGACGTGAAATATCAGAGCTCAGGGTGATACTGAACTGCAAGCACACTAAATTTGAGCTGAGAGCAGAGCAAAAAAAAAATCTTCAGCATCAAGATGTGCATCAGCTTTAATGAGCACACAACTTTAATTGACAAGTTACATGGAAAGTCTGCAAGTGTGGAATATGGAACTGTACATGCACTTTTCCAGTCCCCGCTAGTCACTACACAACCATAGAAGAGATTTCTCTTATTCTAGATATTAGCCCTGATACCCTATTACCCTTCTGCTGTTACAGAGATTATGCCTTGATAGTAAGTGGCCAGATCCATTCTTTGGTCCTTAGGATTTGTGGCACAGCACAGCTTCAGCCTCCTGGGCTAAACATTATTTCCTTCCCAAAAGAGGGTGGTCTTATTCATACCACCTGGGAAATGCTCCCAGGCCCACGTTACCCCCCAAACTGGAATGCAGCATTGTCTGAGAGTCCTAGTTGGCGTGGGCCAAAATAATGTCAGAGAGTATGTTAACAATTGCACAATGCCACATAATTACAAGATAAATGCCCTGGCACTGTTCAATGTACTAGGATATACATGGATCTGCATATCAGCAAACCCACTGCTGTTTCACTGAGTGAGAAAGAAGGACTTGCATGAGTAAAGACATCACGAATATTTCCTTCCCTCCCATACTGCAAAGTGGGGTTTTGCACAGATTAGGCACCTTGGGCCAATTTGCTGCCAAAGTTACAGAAATTGTCTCTTCTTTCAAGACAGAAGTGTAACGTGGAGACGTGCTGACAAACTGAAATGGTCTGCTTCTCATGCTTGTCCCCAAAACACCAAGCTTTGGGAGGGGTAGTGAGTTCTGCGCTATCCTAGCTGAACCACTTCTAGAATACAAACCAGGCTGTTTTAAACCAGCTCAGACAGTGCTGACTACACTGCTGTCACACTTTTATTAAATCAAGAGGTCAGATCAGACATATCCTAAGTGAACAGTAAATGCTTCAGTTGCAGTGTTGCATCACCTTCATACAGAAGAGTTACGAAGTTTATTCAGAGTCATGAACGCTTCCCTATCTAAACTGAAACTGAGGATGTATTTTGTCACCCCATCCTTTATAGACTGTCTTGAGTGTCTGGGTTAATATTCTCCCTCTGAAAAAAATATGAGAGGACCCTTTATGTCAACAGGATCCAAAGGACCCTTGTAAGACCTCTAAAGGCAACATCTCAGTAACACTAACTATTAACCACAATACCAGGAATTCTTGACTGGATGGTTAATCTTGAGTACTGTAGCTCTCAGTGTTCTTCAGATGTTACCTAGCCTAACACAAAGCAGGATGTAATCTCATTTCTTTTGTAACTTCTGATAAACTAAGATGCATTCAGTATAAAATTGCTTACTGGTTTTCCTTGTGGCCCTTCTGGCCCAGGGAAGCCTATATCTCCTATAGGTCCTCTTTCACCCTAAGGAAGAAGAAAACACACATATACATCTGCATGTAAAATCTTGCATTCAGTGTTTGAAATATTTGTGTATTATCTTCAGAGTCCAGAACTCAAATCTGTACTTACAGGTTCCCCTGGCATCCCTGGGGACCCGGGAGATCCCGGCTTTCCCTGCAAAAAGAGAATATTACAAATTCAAATTACTAGGAACGAAAACATAATTTCTCTGAGGTCAAAAATAAGAGAGGATATATATTAGAGTGAAATATTAATGTTACTGTTCATTAAATGCTTTAAGAGAGGAAAACCAAATATTTTACCAGATTTTTAAAAAATATTTGTGCCACATTAATCTGGCTCTTGTGTACAATGTAACTCAATCACTTGGTCTTCTTTACCTTTTCTGTATATCGAGAAAATGTTTTCATGAAATTTTCTTTTACAACACCATGATTTCCTTCTTGAGAAGTCATAGGCAGATCAAAGTTTATCACTGCATATGTGAAATCAAGATTTTTTTCCCTTCAGGTGCTTCCTAGTCATGATTTTTTTTAAAGTGAGTTTATTACTGACTTAACGCCTTTTGCAAATCTTTTTCAGCCACTTTTATTGTTGTTTAATGTTCAGCCTGCCAGAATTCACAATCCTTTCTCATCTCATCATTTAGATGGTGATTTTAAATGTCTTTATTTTTTTAAATGATGCCTTGCTTTTAACAACGTATCTGGTTCAGCCCCAGACAAGAATCTATGACCCTGAATCTACGTTTCCCAGAAATATCCTTAGACCAGATCCTCAGATGACTTGTACAAGTGAGGGATCTAACACATCAACGCCAGTGACAACTTCAGGAACAACAGGACTGAGGATTCGTGCTGATGAAATAGGCATTGGTGGCAATTCTTGCAGAATCTCAGTCCAAGCTTTCCTGATAATCCTGCTCAGCAAAAAGCCAGAGCCAAAATGAGAGGTTTATATTCCCAAATGGGAAAAAGGGTCCACTATTCCATCTAGGCAATAATACCAGGCAAGGAGGACAAACTCTCTTCCAGTAAGATATGTGGATATATTTCAAAAACTCTTCCTGGACTACTAAAAAATATTGTCTCTCATACGTCTGCTAATTTCTTAATTAAAACTGCTTAGCATAAAATGTTAAAGCAAATAATTTATTTCAGTGGATTTTATTAGAATTAAATGTGATCAACACAATGCAATTCCATCAGTGATGAAGGGAACACATTAAAAATTTCATATCCAGCTAGAATAGAGAGCAACAAGAACAAGACTTGGAACATATCTGGTGAGAAATACACAGGGAATGAACAACTGTGATCATCCTAACCAGATATTGCATTATTGATTCACAGTGTGAAATATATTTCAGAGCAACAAACTTTGAAACTCTTACATGGGCTATAGAACTCAGAGAAATACTTCTATATTTCCCTTAAATGTGCATTTTTACCTTGTTTTAGGAGAACTTAACTAAATTAAGCTATTCAAGCTGATGTTCTCTCTTGGAACTCACAGTAAATAGACTAAATCAGTGGCTAATGGAAATGGGAGTGCACAGACACAAACTTCTCTTTATTTCACAAAACACATTTATAATTTAAAAACAGCTCCTGAATGTATTGGTAGCTGCCCAAATTTAATAATAAATGTATTTGCATATAAATAACTCCATATTGCCTCCTGAAATATGAATAAACTTTTTTATTAAACTGTGAATGCAATCTAAAGAAAAGTTGCCTTCGTTTCCTTTAGGAACACAAATGAATAATTATAATTTCAATTTATCATTAGTTACATTTACTTTCACCTACAACAAAGTTTCTGGATGACTTTCAGAAACTACTCTGAATACCACACGTAAATAGCTGACAAAGCATTCCCCTAAAGCAAATGTTTGGTTGACTTGATATGCAGATCCTTGTGGATTGCAATAAGTAATGTTCATAATTTTTCTTTGTGATGGAAAGATGCTCAGAAATTTGTGCATGCCCAGGAACACAGAAAATGTCTTTATCTATATTAAGCTGAGGCAATGAGAAGAATCTTATATGCTTTCTTAACCGAGCATATGCAGCTTCAAATTCCAGCTTTATCATGTATTCACACCATTTCCTCCTGTCATTTTAGTAACACTATGAACCCTCAGTGGTATTAAACTCTAATCTCTTTAGGAAAAGCTCATCATTTTCATACCTGCCTATAAAGCAGTACCCATGCGCTGGTGTTCCACAAACAGTGATGGAGATTACAGCTCAGCGCTTTTCTTGACCTGTTTTTTCAGCTTCCAACAAACTGAGTTTTCTTTAATGAATATACGTACCGGTGTCCCTGCTATTCCTGGTGTGCCAGCTGGTCCACGGTCACCCTGAAGAAAAGATAAATTTATACATAAATGGTAACACTCAAAACAGAATTTTGTTTGTGGATTCCCATTAAAACCTGAGGAAGGATTATTCAGTGAACTGAAAATGAGGACAAGAGCCAGGCTCTGCTAAATGCTAATATTTAGCTCTGCCAATGACTCATTTCACAGACTCGAGCAAGTAACTTAAATCCTTTGTTTAGGTTCTCTTGTATAATGTCATAATTTCCATGCTATCCCTTATACTCTGCTTGAGTTTTCCAAATAATTATGATTTGTGGTCATGACAATGACCAAAATTCACATAGGGTAATTCACTATCATATCAACATTCCCCATATTTAAGATGTATCTTTCAAAGAAGTTTTCACCTTCCTGCTACCCAGTCATCTATTTGCTGCAAGTCAGCATCCTTGATTTGCTTGTGCCATGGTCCTTTCTCCTTTTAGCACACAGTCACCTTCATCTAGGCTTTAAGCCAAGACAATGGCTTTTGTGCTGGAGCTGATGAGTTATGGGCACAAATTCATCTTTATCTCGAGAAGACTATGACCCAAAGCAGACAGATGCAGCTCACCAGTGGTAAAACTCTACACAGTGAGATTTACCCTAACCCACTGCTGACATGCATTGGTCTGGAACACCACACTCTGCTAGCATACCATTGGCTAAAAATGTAAGAAAAAAATCAGGCTCCTAGTTTCTATAATTGTATCAGAAAAGCCCTGGCACAGTTAAAGCCATACTAACAGGAGAATATTTTTGTGAGATGAGTTTATGCTACCTGGAGTTGTTTTGCAAAAGCTCCGCCAACACAGCTACAGCCGCATTCTGTTGTGCGGGAGAGCCCCAGGAGGTGTTGGGATTTCTGGTTTCTGTTCTTATACCTAATGCTGTTTTGTCTCATTCTCGTCACTTTGCTCAGGTAGTGCAATGATAATGCTGGTAATTAGAAACACTTAACTCCATTACACAAAGTGTAGGCAAATGACAAGTTAAATGCCTGACCTTGTGTCCGGAGGGACCAGCTTGCTCACGGGCCACAGTTCAACCTCTCTTGCTCTGGAGGCTAAGGGAAGTCACTTGAAATTCAAGTTCACCCCTCAGTGAGGAACACAACGTGCACCTCAGGAACTTGAGCACCGAGTAACTGTAGGAGGGCATATTGGCTGGGGGACAAATTACTCTGGACCCAGAACTTGTAGCGTGGTGTTTTCCCTATATGCTGGCTATGACGGTGAAGCCAGAAATTCCCAACACTTCCCTTGTAACTTTTTTGCTTTTAAGGGTTATTCTGGTCCTTTCAGCAATGTGATTTGCAGCATGGCTGCACAGATCACTGTGTCAGCACAGCTGAAGGAAGGGACATTTTACCCTGAGGACAAAAAGTTCTTAAGGCAGTTCATGGCATTACCATGAAATTACAGCCAACGTTGTCTGTGGAAGATGGCATTCCGCTACACAGATGTACCTAATAACTCTAAATTAAAAACCAGCATGCGCTATACTGTTGGGACTGGCAGGCAGACTCTGGGATTCTGTTCATTTATTTGCACCAGAAATGTGGAATTTTGACCAAATTTATTTAAGGAAAGGATATTTTTACTTTGGGAAAGGGCCAAACGCTCACTTAGCTTGTTTATATGATCTGCTCCATTGCTTATTCCCTTTATTTAATTCTTGTCCCCACTTTGTCTCACTTAGACCTGTAATATATCCCTGTGTTTGTTCATTTTTAAATCAGATTAGTCTTTAATTGCTTGTAAATTGTAGTCTTCCAGAGCAAGAATCATCTCACATAATTGCAACATCTAGTATAGACACCTGCCTTAGATCTTGTCACTCCCCACTCTCTGCACAAGTAGGAGTAACGCACAGCGATACTGAGAGAGAGAAACTTTTCATTTACATTGCTCTTTGATGAAAAATTAAGTTTCAGTAACCTATTTTGTATGAAGTTATTGAATAACACGTAATTCAAAAATATGAATAAATATTCCATTTAAAAAAAAATCACTCTTTTCTTCTTAAATTTAGAAGATATGGGCAAAATCAAACTGTTTTCACTGACAGAAAAATATTTACAGATTTTTTCATTTCTCTGCAAAAATGAACCTTTTGTACTTTGCCATATTGAGAAATTAATACAAAAATCTTGAAATTTTTAGCATTTTATGACAAGTGTTTCTCTAAATTTATATCAGCCTCCACAACTAGTAAGTGAAAGGCTGAAACATGCCACCAGCTGAAGGGAAGGATTATTTCCTAGCACTGGAATGCAGACTTGAACTACAGGAAGGAGCTGAAGAATACGATACAGCTTGGGATGTGTTACAATGGCATCATACATGCAATACGGAGTGCAAGAAAAGCAGAACAGAAACAAGGAGCCTATTTTAGAATAATGAGCAACAGTCTGAGAAGAGAGATTTTTGCTCACTTTGGAGCAGGATGCAATTCAACAGGAACTGTAGGGAATCAGTCTCTCCCTCTATTTCTACTCTTCTTTACACTCAACACAAATAGTTGTCTTTTTTTTTTTTTTGTATGGAAGTCTTGCATGCACTAGGTCTAGAATAATTCAGGTGAAAACTTCTCTTCAGATCTGTAGCTATGCCATAAGTCTTAGAAAAAGACAGACTGTAAGCATAAGACTATTCAACAGAGAACAAGACCATACTGAGGCACATGTTAACTATATTACTATTAAGTAATATAGTTATATATTGTATATACTATATATAATACAACACATAGCAGTATTCTATCAAGTTAAGAAAAAAAAATATTACAAGACCTCCTACACACAATTTTCCATTTGTGGAAAATGACATTATGTTGAGTGAGTATACGATTTAGATCCACAGTAAAACAAAAAAAAGAAATACAGATAAATATGCAAATATTTTTCACACAGAAACTTTAACTTACACCAAAAAGAAATTCAAACAAGGTTTCAGAAAACATTTAGCTGCAGACAGCTGCCACTAAGAAGCCATGATTTCTTTCAAGAGTCCTACCTTTTCCCCTGGGAGTCCTTCCAATCCTGGTAATCCCATAGGTCCTGGGTCTCCCTGAATTTTTTTTTTTTTTAATTAAAAAGGATTGCATACATTAGAATTTCTGTACTCTACATAAGAAATGTTGACCAGCAAGCAACAGCAGATTATTTAACTTGAGATTAGTAAAACAGCTAACCAGTTTTTAGGTGAACAAATTTTGCTACACCCTGCTTTAGTGATCTGATAATTAAGCTTTTCCCAGAGGCAGTGTGTGAATATTTGGACCAACAGTTTTAATTTTGATGAAGAATGTAATCCAGAAGACTCCCCTCCAGTGTTCTTGCAAGCCAAGGTCAGCTCTAAAGCACCTCCAGGTGGTAGAGCCCCAGGGTGTAAGCATACACCGTCAACCAGAGAACCAACCTCCAAGCAATTGTGCACTCGGTTCCCTAGAAAAAGCTTACTCTGCAGCAAGGGACACACAGACTAAGTCCCTGTGTAGGTCTTCGAATTTTGAAAGAAAACCAGAAACATGCTCCACCAGAGAAATCAGTTTAACGTGTAGAGTGGGGAGGCCTTTTTAATTCTTTTTCTTTTTTTAAAGAAAATTGATAATTTACCACAGAGATTTAAACTACAGCTAACAATTCCAGTATTTCAGCAATTCTCAGTTAAATCAAAAGCCACAGCAAATTGCCATCTGGATTTCATGAAGTCTCTGCCAGATCTCACTTTCCTCACTTAAACTCTGGGAGATGGTGCTTCCTGAGTAGGAGGTGGATGCTGGTACAGAAAGACTTCTGGGCATGATGATGAAACAAAAAAAAGAGGCTTTGTGACTTTTTTTGAAAACAGATTAATCAACTGTTTTAGGAAAACAACTCCATGTTTTGCTGTAAGTGCTGAGGGGTTCTGTTTTGGGTTTCTTATTGTCCTTGAGGAGCACATGCTGCTTTCATGAGTAGAGGCATTTCTCAGTAGTTTCACACTGATACTGAAGAGAAAGTCTCCATGATATCAGAAGAGTCAGAAGACAAGAACCCTTCAACAGGAGAAGACACTCACCATCATCTTCCAAATACTGTGGCCCGATATGTTCAGACAAGACCAGTCTCTAGTAGCATTTAAATAGTCCATGTGTTGTGCTTTGACCTGATTCTTTACTACCAGGCATCCAAGATACTGGCTGAACCATCTCCTTATTTATTTTGCCCAAGACTAACAATTTGAAGACACGACAGCAGATGGAGAGGTCAAGTGTCAGCTTCTTGGTGGTTGAAAGAACTCATGAATGCATTAAGGAATTCTGTAAGTATTTCTCTGAAGTAGAAATTTGTCTCACCAGTAGCAGACATAGCTGTTCTTTACTTTGCTGCAAGGGATGTGATTTTGTTTCAAAACTGATCTCCAATTTTTTTCAGGGTTTCCTTATCTTTATCAAGTAGACAATTCATCAGCAGATCATGGGGAATGCAGTCTGACTGGGCACAATCTTCTCTCCTAACTAGCTCAGCTTCTACTGCTTTTATCAGCAAATTCCTCTCATCAATTTCTATTAGCTGACACATGGTACTCATCCTGATTCAGTCATACTGCCTGAAGTTTGAAAGAGGTCTGCTGGACACAGTTCTACCACACTGACTGTGAAAGAGAAGTACCTGTTGCACTGCCTTGCAGTGTTACAGTGCTGTGACTATCATTATGCAGTTATGTGATGTTGCTTAGAGTTGAAAAAGAAGTACACGGATGTATTGAAATTTTAATTGCTGTGGAAGCACCTATGCGATTTTTAAAACAATATCCATTTAAAATGACATTTGATGCTATCATACTTTTTGGGCTAAACTATCAATACTTAAATTTTACTATTACTTTTGGGTATTTTCACTGACGTCCAGTCATCAAGATACAATACCTGTAAGCTTCAACTCCGCCACCTTTAAGGGTAGGAACTGTAGTGACAAATTGCAAGCTAATGACAAATATAGTTTCTCTATTATAAAGGCGAGTTACATCACACATCAGGGACTTTGGGAAAAATGTACGCCCAATCAGGATGTGGATCTACATTCCGCTGGTGGCTAGCCCTATGCAACTGCTCAAGATTCTTCCACTAGTTGTCTTCCCCTCCACATAATTTTTAAAGAAAGATCACGTAAAAAGGACATAACAGAATGCTTAAAGGAAAAAAATATAAAAACCTTCAATAGATCTGCTTTTGAATGTCAGACTGCATGGTTGAAAGGTATAGTGGCTCCCATGATCATCATTGTCTTGCTCACCAGAAGCAATGTGATCATACTGTAACTAACTGGCATGCCATTTCCAAAGAAAACATCAACTTCTAGTTGTTACTAGCTAGCATGATGTAGCACGCTGTCCTTTCATCCTTATCACTTCCAAATTCAATGTTGAGAACAATCTAATAGCTCTTAAGGTTATTTTTGACCTTTATTTCAAATTCTCTATTCTTAGATATATCCAGAGACAGCTCAACAGAGATGAATTCACAGGCAGTTAACACTATGTTCAGTCATTCATTATATTATCACTTAGACCTATTTACCAGAAATTGCAAAATTCACAAGCCTGGCAATTAAAAAAGCTTTTTCAGATGTACTGATCCTGCAGCAGGTAAGCTACGTGCTAAAGAATGTTAGTGGACTCTTCCACCCTTGTGACTAGGATCATGTGTTGAACTACTTGGGGAATTCTCTATCATGACCAAAAAATACATACATACCACTGTGCCAGGATCTCCTTTTGGACCCTGCAAAGAAATGAAGAGGTGGAAACACATTTAAAGAAGAACAGAGTTACACAATAAGATGGTATTTTTTTTGAATTACTGCATTATGAGTATACTTTGCTAATCAGGGCATTTAGAATCAGTATTAAGTCCAGCCCTCTCAGCTGATTAATTTAGTGTGAAATCTTAGTAATACTTGGTTTTTGTCTTGCTGTTACAGAATACAGAGAAAGACAGCTCTGGGGTCCAGTGCGAGCTCGTGACTACAAATGGCACATAATGTAAGGACAAAGCCTCACTGATGGCTACAACATTTTTATGTGGTTACCAAAATGACATTCATCTTAAACCAGCAGAACCTGCCTATGACACTAACAAGAAGGAGGACCTAAATAAGTGCACAGCATCTTTGGCTCCACAGACCCAAAGCAACAGTGTCCAACTGCAAGGTGGGGCATCTGCACTCTGCAGTGTGGAAGACACCAGCTGTGTGGCTACATGCAGTGAATCAGTGACAGAACTGAGATAAAAAATAATTAACTTCTAATTTCCAGCACCAAATTTAATCCATTACAAAACCATGGCATCACTAACTATAAATACTATATTACAGACTTTAAGATATTAGGATACTTTCACTAAAGAGTCCAATACCGAATTATGCACCATTTTTGCAGACTTTACTTGCTAGTGTGAAATACGTAAATCAAAATAAACTACTCTCCAAAATGGGCTAAAATGCTTGATAAGTACATAAAATCACACTTTACCATTTACTACATATCAATCAATCCTTATTTTTTCTATCTTTCACATATAAAATCGAATTCTATGCCACTTACCAAAACTGCATCCAAGTAACCAACCCCTCTGTTACTATGTTAATTAACTATTAGAAATGACGTTTCTTAATACTTACTGGAGGTCCTGGTGGACCTGGATAACTAGCGACACTCACACCTCCCTGTAACAGCAAGTTTAAAAGTTGAGCTGGGCCAAAATTAGGTGTCGATTGAAAAACAAAAAACAAACCCAACCCAGTAAAGAGAAATACCTGGAGTTTATATAAGCTGCTCATTCCATTTCTTTCATTGTAAGGCATACCCTTTAAAACATAAAAACCAACTAAGTGTCACAGCTATGAATTATAAAGGCAGAACTCTTGCCCTGTTGAAGCCCCATAGCTCAGCAAAGCTGTGGTATCATTTTTGTTCTTGATCAATTTTTCAGATTCCAGACATTTCAGTAAGAACATAAGATACATACCAATGCATCTTGGGATGTTTTTTGAATTACGAAACCAGAAACCTGTAAATCTCAGTGTACATTACATTTTGTTATTTATTATTATTATAATTCTCCAGAATTGATTTTGTGTTAGGTTACTATTCCAGTTAATTTGGAGCCTAGTGAGCTCCACAGACTTTTTCCCCGAGTTCCCTGATCTCAGGTACCCAAGCTGTCTGAGTTACTCTAATAACATTGGACACCAAGGTTAACTCATTTGACCCAGTTTCTAAGATGGCTGTAGTGACCTTAACTTACTCAGTGATGAATCACAGGAAAAAAAAAGGAATACAGAAACCTTTTGCAAAAAGACATCGTTGACTTCCTGCACTATTAATACATATTAGATTTACAGTCAATTCTTTGTATTGCATTATATTTTACTCACAAGTATATTGTTCCTAATATAATGTTCAAAATATAAACCAAAATGTCTCACCGGAGGCCCAGGTGGTCCAGGTTTCCCAGGAGAACCTTCACTACCCTAGTAGAGCAAGAGATTCATATAACTCATTTACTGTAACTGATGTCCACATCTATTCCATACCCAAGGTATGATGACGACAATGACAATAAACAAGAGATACAGTCAATATGAGCAGGTAATATCAAGAACAAATTCTGCTGCCCAGTTCCTGCTTAAGCTTTAGGCAAGTTATTAATCATTACTTTATACTAGTTTTTCATTTTGTTAGTTACTTGATGCTTTATGTGTTGTGACTTCCTTGTAGCAAAATAGTAGTGGCAACCTGGGTTGTGAAACACTTCATATGTACCAGAAGGGAGAGGAAGAAAAAGAAAGAGTTGTTAATGTAAATTTCTAAGCAACTGACGGATAAAAATTAACATTCATCTTATACTTTGTATACAATTTTGCAAAAGCCAATCCTCAGTTGATCACTCACAAGTAAATAAAGAAGAGCTTCAGTTTCAGAAGTTCCATTTACTTAGAAACACATTGAATAAAAATAATGATCATCTTTATTAAGAGATATAATGAACTTCTTTTTGGTTTTTACTGTAAAATATTCATCTGTGGCTACCTGTATCTGTAGTCTGTTCTGCTGACATGCTCTGAATTGTTTATATTAAAAAAAAAAAGCTTCTGAGTTTTTGCCCCAGCAGAATGGTGGGGTCTCTGAACAGTATAGAGTTTCAAAGGTTTCAACACCAAATTTCCCAAACAATATCTTTTCAAAATCTCATCACTACTATTCAGTTAAAAACACTATAATTTGGAACAATTCTGCCAGTATTTTTCACTGACTTCATTGGATCTTATTAAACATATGTCAGTGAGACACTTAGGTTGCATATTTAAAATTATTAAGGTGGCAAAAGTCAAGATAAATGTTCAATGGCAATAATTAGCTCACCAGAAAAATATAATTGTAATTAAATGCTTATACTAGGATAATTCCCAAATGGTCCTGCTAATTGATAGAACTGTCAGCCTCCAGAGAGTGATTTGGAGTACTTCATGGGGAATAAAAATACTATACTTCAGAAAGCGTATTATCTGATCATTTCTCAAAAATGTTCCCCAGATGAAGGAAGGAGGAGGAAATTTCTCTGCCTATATTTCAGTTTACTTCATCACTCTTCAACCATCTGACTTTTGCCCTTTTTGATTGATGAGACACTGGTTATAGAGCAGGGGGTTCTCATTCCCACCTGTGTGTGAATTGTAAACAAGGAACTAACAAAGACTTGTGTTTTGCATTTGGTTACATGAAAAGGAAATAAGTGTAGTAAATTTCTGCTATTATGGTCTACAAGGAGACAGCTCTCAATCAATTTTTATACTGAAATAATTTCAGAGCTTTACAAAATAGTTTCCTTTCTCACTCATACCAGAGTAAACGTTTTGTAGAGTATTAGTAGGATCACACACATTGATGTGGCAGTGCTATGCCTGGAAAACTCCAGGCTAAAGCTGAAAAAAAACTTCAGAAAAGTGTATTCATATACAAAATGGAGAACTTGTCCCAGAAAGTATTTTGCAGCGAACTAAGTTTGTGTCAGCTGTATTTCACTGAACTGAGGTGCCCAAGAAATGAATTTGACCTCTTAGTTATAATGGATAATATCAAGAGCCTGATAAAAGAGGACATAAAACATTGATAAAAAGCAGTGCTATAACAGCGTAAATTAAGTATAAAGGAAGCTTATATATTTTTGCAGAATAACTCTTACTCAATAACTTTTAGTACTTGTGAAGCACTTTTAAAGTATGCAATTACTTTTGACCAAAATACTGGTAAAAAAAATGAGAAGCAGAGCAAGTAGTAACTAGTCACATACTATTTCACAAACGTATTTTCACTTTCCTAAATTTTATATAACATGTCATACTTAGAGAACATTCTCTGCAACTTACATACACCACAAGGACTACACTTCAAAATATAAGCCCATATGTATGGCATTGTTTGGGGAAAGTACTTGTATTAAGACACAAATAAAAATTAATTTGAAAATGTATTTCAAGTTCTTGTTTGCACTCTATGTTAAGAAAACCCCCAAACACAGGAGCGTAATGGGATTGCAAAACCTTCACAGATCTTTACCAAGACTAAAAAGAAGGAATACCTTTTCGCCTTTTGACCCTGCCGGACCAGGATGTCCAGGTCTTCCTGTGACTCCCTGCACAACACAGTATCAGGTTATATTAAGGGAACAATGAAACACTGTATTTTTGCATTGAAGCTTAGTTTTTAAAACGTGTGCTTTTTGAAGGTCATTTAAACCTAACTATGCTTGTCCTCCAGGTTTAAATACTTCTCTTCCGTTTGATACAACAGCTATGTCCTTCTGATAAGCCCTTTGAAGGGTAAAACTTGTGTTTGTGGTTGCATTTTCACCTTGGCAAACTAAATGCACTGACCTTAACAGTCACCTCTTGATACTGCTAAGAATCATGCTTTACTGCTAAAATGCCAATTTACATATTCCACGTTAAACTTCCGAAATGTGTTACAATTTTTGAAAGAAGGGAAGCATTAGTACTGTCAGCAACCTAGGAATGAACAATGTTCATACTAACTAATGTGATCCCACCCAGTATGTAGAAAATAAAATTTTAAAAAATTTCCAAGAGGAGTTTTCCCAGAAATACCAACATTTTAAATGATATTTTTTCAGTGGCTTTAAATATTGTCAGCTTATTGTCATACTTTTTTTTAATTGTGAAACCAACCTTATTGTGAAACTTGGTTTCAGCATTATATGTTTTTAGAATGCCTAGCTGGAATTATTTTTAGATTTTTATTACTAACATTATTACTGTAACTTGGGTACAAATACATAATTAACTGCAAGTTTGCACATCATAAATCATGTAACCTCACAGAGTCTCTACTAATGCCAAAACTCCAAATCCATTTAAGTTACATAAACTTTGAGCCCAGACGACGACAGTATTTTCAGTAACATCAACTCACAACATAGTTTCTTTTATTAGAACCAGTACGGGTAAGATGTTATTATTACTCTCCTAAAAGCCAAAAGAAAGGAAAAGAAACTAAGAATACAAAGTTTTACTAGATAGTTATAGCAACCTCTGCAGAGACAGATTAGATCACAGGTGACAGCACACACTTACAGATGGTCCACTGGGTCCTGGTACGCCTGGCAGTCCAGGAGCACCTTGAAGGCCCTGGAAATTGAAAGAGCATATGTCTATTTCCTCTCCCACTTATACCTCAAAAACTACTTATATTCAGCATGTCCAGCAGTATTATAACTATATTAAAGACATTTTCATCTAAAAGGTTGGCATTATTTTCAGGAATGAAAAAAAACCCCACCATGCAGGGAAGATATTATCATTGAGCAAGGTTAGAGGCAACTTCTTGCTTGACTTATGACCAATATTTGTCCTTCAACCTTTCCCATTGTTAGCTTATGTCCTGTATATCTTTTTGTCTTTAGCCGTGCAGATAAGAGCAGGACATCTGGCTTTTCCTTAGAGATTAATTTTCTATTTTCTAACACTAAAAGGTTTTTTTGCTGGTGAGAAGACAGTGGATACGCAGACTTCTCAATGTTACCTGATGCTATCTAAATGCAATGATGCTTTCTGCCTGATTTATAGATTTTGCTTTTTTGGTAACGGAACATGACATTTTTCATAATATTTGATGACTTACTTTCCTGCTCTTATTCTATCTGGTTGCCTGGAAATCGATGGATTCTGGTATCCGCTTACTAAACATACAGGTGCACAACTTAGTACAATGGATACAGGTAGGATTTAAGACAAGCCTGCACGCCACTGAAGTCTTTCCTCTGCCACACCAGGCTTAGGTGCAAGGTGTAAAAGTCATGTACTAATGCGAGCTAATCACTCTCGGTTCCCCCTATAATCCACGAAGGGAAGTAGGTCCCTCCCAGCAGTGATCGATTTTATCTGCACAGGGTGCCTATCCTCTGACAAGAAGAATCACCTCAGAAAAGGCATATTTCTCATGTTAAATGCAGTGTTTAAGAAGGCATGGCTAAGGGGGTAGTCTAGAAAACCACAGAGGTCAGGAGCCCTGAAACAGGGGCTCTGAGGGACAGCCTGAGGGAAAAACTCCAGACAGAAATAAATCAGGAAAGATGTGGAGATGGAGAGAGACATTGATTGCCCTTTCTTGCTCCTACACACAGAGGACACTGAGATACCTCTGCAGCTTTTCAGAGTGGCAATCCAACTGCTAATGTGTTCTCTGCTTATTTTGAATTACTTTACTGTGATGGTACAGTCACCCGGAAAATTAATATGAAGCCAAAGGAACATTTTCTGTAATTCTTATTACTGATGTGAGAAAAACACTCCCCTGAAAAAGGAAAGAGAACTAAGCTTCAACAAACAGTAAAGGGCTATTTGAAAGCACATGGAAGTTAATGAGCGTATTTCAAAGAGCTTCAGGTAGGCTTCTCAATCTCTCTTCCCATTCCCATGCTAACCAAGTCATAAAAATGAAAACAAATGCATTCTTTTAAAATTTGTAAATATGTAAAAAAAGTTACTTTGCAAACTCTTTCACACGTGTTTCTGAAAATAAATTCACTTACACCCTCATAATGTCATAATCAAAAGCTGCTGCTAAACACTGAAAATATCAGAGCTAAGGCAGCTAACCAGCTATCAAACAGTGAAGCAGCATGCGAATACCTAACTTACTAACACAGCACAGCACCCTACCGAATCAATAAAAAAAAAATAGAATAAATTTACTCTGGCATCTTTTAAAAAAAATTAACTGCCAGTTATAATCTTGCCTTTCCCTTACTGCCTTCTTAATTGCCTCTAATATCTCGCTTGATTCTCAGCAGTTAAATAGCATCTCAATTGTTGAAACTGTTTTGCTAATGCCTCAGACTGCTAGGGTTGAATTCCAGAGGTGCCCTATGGGGCACACGAAGGATGTGTTACTTTCCCATTTATTTTTTAGGTAAAATTCTGCTTGGGCTTTGTTTATGGCTGCCCCATCATTTTAAGGTATATGGTCTAAATCCAACCTGAGGAGGCACTTACTTTTAAGAAGCAAAGACATAATGAGCTCTATAGATCGTGTAAAAACAAGAGGAAAAATAAGCATGATACTTTAGTCTGACAATCTGCTAAATTCTGGGGCAAAGCAGTAGCAGTAACACATATTTAGTGCTTCTGCTGCAACCTTCTTTTTCCTTATATAACTGTTTACTTTTGGAAGCCAAGGATCCTGAGGAACAGAGATTTTTTAAAAAATTATTCTCATTCTATAAATTCTAAATTCTTACTATATAATGACTTTAGCACCAAAGAAATGTAAAACACTCATAAAGAATTACAGACCCCTCAATCAGTAATCTCTAAATTCCTTCCATATTTTCCAGGTGCTTTCTCTTGTAGCCAGCACTCCCAAATTGCAAGAGAGAGAGTAGTACATCTTTAACAGTGCCAGTTAAATATTTTGGAATTTTGAAGGGTTCACCAAATATTTTGTAACAGACTACTTATTTTAACTCCTTCAGTTGGCTAAGGTCACTACAAAATTAATTTATTTACTCAGATTCATTTTTTTAATAGCTTCTGTTTTGGTGATTTTTTTTTTTTTTTTTTGGACAGAGATTGCTCTTGAACTGTTAACTGCAAATATTTCAATTTAAAATGAGAGCTATAGCAGCTATTTTGGACTTGGCACCACAAGTCACGTGGCTTTTTTCCTTCTCCATAATGACATAAAAATAACTCTAAGAATGCAGTATATGTTGCAAAATACTGTAAATATTTTAAATTCAGTCTCTTCAAACATTTTCCAGTTTCCACTTAATAGTAATTGTTGCTACGACCATTCCCATCAGAGTATTTGCCTAATGGAATGTTTTTGAAAGTGAATTCTAAAGGGAAACTAACACAATGAAAGCAAATATGTTATAAAACATTAAGTATTTTCTGAAAATACTTGGCGTTTACTACTTATTGCTCTATCCTATACACTTTAAAATTAGCATTTAAATGTATGTGAGGCTTTAAAATATACAAATAAGCAAAAATCCTCAGACAAAAATTAAATAGATATTACTTAATTGAATAATAGCATTTAATCTTGTTGAAAATTCAGAATTGAGGGCTATTTATAGCAATATATTACTATCTCAGCAGTTTTAAAAACTGAATAACATTCTGTGCATTTCATTCAGGTTCAGATAAGATTGTAACTGCTATAGAAATTAAGTAGTTTTACCTCATCGCCCTTCTCTCCAGCAAGCCCAGGAAATCCACGTTCACCTTTGCTTCCCTATGAAAATGTAACATTCAAACAAATACTTTCTATTAGAGAACAATGAATTTCATGCTCTGTAGCGCATTTTATGACCCACATTTAATATGTGCTTGCATGAAGCCCTTAGAGCAATAGTGCCTAAAACAGGAAAAAAAGGCTCAGTACTACCCAAAAGCTTTAAAATATGCCTCCCATTGAGGTGAAAGAAAATTAGTGTTTTTTACCTAGTAGGCAAGCTAGTCAAAAGGCCTGATGGAGACATCTTATTAATATCAAAAGGCTTAAATGCTTGCCAAAATGGAGAAAGTACACTTTCATGGAATTCTGCTCAACTATAGGGGATACCTGTATGCCAAACCATGTGCATTTGATTCAATTACAGTGAAGGAGAAGTTTGATGGACATCAATGAAACTTCAAGTCCCTGTGAAACGGGTGCGTTAATCCCACGGGGAACGAGGTGCAAAGGCAGAGGGTGATCCAGCTGTTGCACAGCTGAGGGAGTTACGGGAAGTTTCCTTCTTCACTGTGGGTTCTCCTGTGACTGACTCACCTAAAATAAGCCTATAGATGGCAATGCACTACTGCACAGTCAAATCTGAGCTAGCTTTAACGGACACAAGACACAGGAGAGGTATCCTGGATTCGGATTCAACTCAGGCTATTTCGCTCACTTTCCCGAGAGGAAAGGCAAACTGACAGGACGAGGGCTGAACCGTAAAAATTGTCTGAACCTTTAGGCTGCTCAGATGCTACAGGGAGAGGGATCAGACAAAATGTCAAGACTGTTGGAGGTAAGAGTCTGGCCTTTTACTTTTAACAAGCAACAAAGCAATGTAAAGGACTCTCCTCAAAACTTACCTTTGGCCCTTCTCTGCCAGGGATGCCTGGAGGACCTCTTGTGCCAGGATCACCCTGAGGAACAGACACAAAGCAAAGTGATAAACGACTATTTTGTGACACAGGCAGAAGGTCTGATCTATGCAGACTGCTTCCTTCCTGCCTTTGTGACCATCCCTTCATTTTACGGCAAAGCCTTCTCTTCAGTCCTTTCTCTCTTCTACATAAAATAGTTCTTCTGATACTCTTCCTTGTTTCCCTCCCCATCTCTCACACACTCTACTCAAACCATGCTAACAAATTTTTAGCTTCTTTTTGAGAGGACTCATAAATGCCTTCATCTCAGATAGTCCTGTGTTTAGGTTTGAGCAGACCATCTTCCTTTTAAAGATTAGGTAGAGATGGAGGCTACTTGTTACTCTCACCAGCTTCATGATTCCTGCTTTGTTGAGAGAAGCATTTTCCAGCTAAATTACAATCTTATAGAAGTGGTAACCACAAAACAGACAGAAATGAAGAATGAAGCATAAAGAGTTGGTAAGAGAGAGAATTGACAAAGAGGTAGAAAAGCAGGTACAGGAGAAAGAAAATACAATTACACACAGAAAGAGTCAGGGAAAAGCCCAAAGACAGACCTACAAGAAAGCAAATTTTGGAATGAGAAAGTCAAGAAACCCTAAGTACCTGTATTAATAAAGAACAGTAGAATAGGATTTTTCTCCTCAGATTGCAGCAATTCATACTGTGGGCTGGATGTACTGAACAGGCACTTGCTGGCTAGTACCTCACATACTGTTCAAACGTTATTTTGCAAAATTCCTCTCAAATACATTTCCTGAGTATTTTTTAAAAACAAAACAAAAATCTCTGAATGGTTTTAGGCTAGCCAAATAGTTCAGAATTGAACCTACAGAAACTTTCAAGTGCATATTTCGGTTTAAAAAGCATGCTTATAGTAAACAAAGATACTTAATCTCTGACAATGTTTACCTTCAGTATAGCACCCATGTCTCCCACAAGTGGTAGTGCAATCTGAAATTAAAAAAGGCAGCTGCAGTTAATGTTTTACACAACACTACCAATTCTGATGGGTTCTCATTGCTTCTGAAGTTTAGATTGTTACATACATAACTGATTACATATATATTGGCTGAAGATATTTTTTAATGAAAACTCGAAAGAAAGTTTCAAATATAATTTTTAAATGTTAAATATCGTTGTCTATCCACCTAACAATGTAATTATTTGCTACAATTTCAATGAAGTTGCTTAAACCATGACAACAGCGTAACTCCAGAACACAGTAAATTGCACTTTAATATATTAATAATATATTGTTGTTTTTGTGGCATACCAGCAACAACTTTTCGTTATTGGAGAGTCTCACAGACTATTCTCACCTGATTATCTTCAATTGTTTTCCTTCTGCTTTCTCCTAGGCTTTGACTACTGTGAACTGTAGCATGAACTGTGCAGATGCCAAAGCTAACTTCAATAAGCTAGCTCAGATATTGGAATTAATGCAGCTACAGCAACACAAGGAACATATACAGTATTTTGTCCTGCTTTTAAACGTTAAGAATTAGCGCAAAACTCTGTGGTGCCACAGCTAAATCATTACCAATACTAAAGTTAACCCATTTAAAGCTCAACCAATAGGTTTACACTTTACTGCAATGTATCTCAGATTTCCAAGTGCTGCCATTAAACTTATATTTAAAGACTCCCTGTAAAAACTGATTGACCTGGTTATCATCAGCTTCACTGACAGATGGACTCTTCAATTACCAATGCTCATTTCTTCTTCTTGCAATTGCTAAAGCAAACGTAGCCCTGGGCATACTATAAAGTTAGACATATTCAAAATTTATTACGGTTTTTGTTCAGTCTGTTTCAATCATTTCCATCTTGAAGAAGAAAAATAAAATGTAAGCACTTTTGTAGCATATTAGAAAAACTGTTGGTTGGTAGGAACGGGTGTCAAATCTCAGCTCAAGAGAAGCATTGCTTAACCCATAAGTGTAATCAGGAGCACACCATTTACAGGGTAGCGTCATCACCTTTGAAAGCATGCTGAGAAGTTTTCTAGAGTGAGACATAGTCACCTAACGCACCTTAAGGACATAACTATGTAAGGTATGAAGTCCATCCTCTGCACAAAGGTAAACTATACATAGACAGTGTCGCATGCTCTTAAAAACCTGTAAAAAGCCTTAAAAACAACATCCCTACATTGCCTGGCTTTTCATTCTTCTCCTTGTGACAACATTTTACAGATAGGTAGTCTATTACCATGTCACCTGCCGGTCTTTCTGCTGGACTACACAAGTGTAATTTCCCCAGTCTCTCCTCTTTTCTAATGTTCTTATTTTAGCTGCAATATCACTTTATGGTACAGCCCCCCTAACCCTCAGTGTGAAAGGGTCCTAACACCCAGGTGCAAGGGCATGCCAGGTACGAGAGCAAGCTCACTGCATTTGTGCCGTGCAGTTCGTCTGCTACGCCAGTACAGCAAATCCAGCCTAACCGCACACATACTGCACAGTCATAGCTGTGTATGCTCAACTCTGAATAAATGTATGATATGTGCCGGGCTTTTGAAAATGTTAAAATGGCCTTAATTCTCCAGACTCACTCCTGCTTGCTACATCTTCCTTTAAAAATGTTCTCTCCAAAGAGAAGAATATTTCAAGAGAGCACAAGGCAATAATTCTCCTCTTAGTAAGTTTTACCATTTAGACCTGTCTGTTTAACAGTAGCATCAGATTTGTTACTTACATTTAGTTTACAGTGCACTGTGCCTTCCAGACTTATTCTACTTACGGATTTTGGTTTTTTCTTATTAAGCACTTTATGCCTATCTGTCTCAAGTTTAATCTTGTTGACTTCAGACTGTCTCTGAATTTTAAGTTTTTACTATATCTTCAAAAAGCTAGCAATCTTTCCCAGTCCAATTGCAGAGTTTATATCTACTTAATCAAATTAAATCACTGACAAGAACTGGATATTGGAGAGACCTCTCTTTCTAAGTTTGACAATAATCTGCTGATAGACATATCCATATTTTTTGATAAACGTTAACTATATGGCAATTACTTCAAGACCATTTTTTGCTTGCTTATAAAAACATCATGAGGACAGTCTCAAAGTTTTATTGAAGCCAAGATACATAACATGACTGTTTCTCTGTCTTTCCCAAGAAAGTTAACCTTCCTGAGACAGAAATCTGTTTTATTCCATGACTGGTTCTTAACAAAATTATGCCATATTGTATTTCCACTTTATCATCCATATCACTGGTACTTAGAATTAAATATTTTTAAAAATATTTCATATCTTTCCTGCATTAAACTTTTTTCAACTGACCTATTTACTCTGGTTCCTCTTCTATTCACCTTTTATGAAGATATGTTTTCTGTTAGCACCTCTCCGTTCTTCCAAAGCTGCATCTTTCTCAAAGTACTCAAAGGTAACAGCTAATCATTTAGAGACTGCTTTGGTTCATTCTTTGGGTAAATTACACCAGATATTCATGCTATATCTAAAACCTCTTTAACCAATTCTTTTTTCAGTTAAATTAACTAAAATTCATTTTATGTATTTTCTGAAAAGCAATTTTTTTATGGACAGTGAAAAGCTGCTGAATTATTCAGCTTTCTCTGCACAATCTGTAATTTGATCTCCATGATTATTAAATAATAGACTTTACTGGTCTTTCAAATAATTGTATTCACAGTGCCTTTGTCTTTTTATATCTGTTCCTAACTGAAGCTCATTTTATATCTCAATCTTTGTGACTCTCTGACTTGAGTTCTACCTTCATACTCAATGCCAGTGATAGACCTGCTTTTACGTACTGATTTCAGGCTTTTGAGGAGCTACCGATAGTCTTAAGTGTCTCTTAAAGCACTGAACCAGTCCACTAATGCAGGAACCAAGGAACCAACTGATCAGAATCACCATCCCAATCCCTGATAATCAACAGCACTAAAGTGCTAGCTAGTTCCCAGGCTCTTCTCTGGAGAAAGCTGACTATTCATTCTGAGATGAAATCTTTGTGTGATCTTGGGGTTAGTTTATCCCTCCATAAGCTCCTTGTTGTCAATCCTCACGCTGACTTGTGGACTGCTGTGCATCAGTACCATCAAAAGTTTAATTGAAAGCACGATATATTTTACTGCCTAATGCATTCCAAGCATTTGTAATCTCTTCATAGGCTATCAGCAGTCAGCAGACTAGTTTGGGAAACGCCGCCTTAGATTTGCATTGCTGGACACTTGGAGATGGACCTCACTCACAACACATGATGCAAGTCTCTGCATCTGAGGAGTACGTGCGACGGTCAGTTATGTGAAAAATTACTAGTTTAAGAGATGAACAGACTGAGACCTCCGAGATACTCTACTCACTCAGTGAAAAAGCCAAATTCATGCCTTGGTAAGGAGCAGAGATTTTGCTAAACGACATAATACAGTTCAAATCTTAGGTTTTGTAATTTTAGTTTTCCTTTGTTTTGATATGTCTCAAATAAATACTACTATCACTGTGTCTCCCTGTTGTTTTGAAAACTGTGCCTTTGACTAAAATCTCTTGGGAAATATCAAATCCTATAAAACCAATAGGATCACAGGTGAGTTTAACAATTTTTTTTAAGCTCTGGTTTTGGTTTGTTTCTTCCAACCATCTACAAATTTTTATTTATTTTATATCGAACAACCACTCAGGGAATTCAGAAAGCTTCATTTGCTGTCATAAAAGCCTCTGTAAGCATTTGTTTCCAAAGAGAAATTTGCTTTTTGAAAGTTCTGAGGTAGTTGTTGGGACTCTAGACAGGAGCAGAAAAAATGACTGAAGTTTTGCCTTTATGCCAATTTTGCAGATATGCACATCAGACTCTCCTGATTCCCACATAAAATACTCAATTATTTTTAAGGGTACAGTTTGGTCTGAGGCATGTGCAGGCTTTTTGGATCTTGTAATGCTGGACTTCACAAAATCTGTAAACCTATAGTATTGTTAAATACAAATCATTGCTGCAATACATACCCAAGAGGAGACAATAACTCCTAAAGTGTGGCAAAGGATCAGAATTTATTTAGTGTTTTTGTTTTCAAACCCAGCCACTTAACTTTTCATTAGTTCTAAAAGGAATTTATTGCATTAGAGACTAACTATGCTCAGAATTTCATTAAAAATTAATGTCTTCTTTCTGTGGCATAGCAAAACTGGCTTCGGAATCTCCAAACTTTTCTCTTCAATGTTTTAACAGGAATTATCGAAGTAAGCTCCTGAAAATTTGCATTATACAGAACTGCTTCTGAAGCTGAGGAACACTATGCCGAATTATAGCCTGGCAGAAATGCTAGTATACAAACTGTAACACCTGAAAACAAGATATTTATCCTGTATATGTTAACATAAGTTTAATTTATACTGCAATATAATCAAGTAAAGAAAAAAACCCAAAGGTTATAATCATCGAAAAATCAAATTAATTTAATCAATTGCACTTCTAGACTTGCTAGGTTATCTCATCTCCTCTAAATTTAAAATATTTGCACCAAAGCAAATGCACAAGCTTTCTATGTATACGTACAGGATCACCTGGAGGGCCTGGTAGTCCTGGCTTTCCATCTCTTCCTGGAGTGCCCTAGAAACAAATGTGAAATTTGATGGCCTTAAATCATTTATGAGGGACACATTACTTTTTGCTGTATATATAGAGAACTGTCACTTACATTAATACCAGGGGTACCTGGAGTTCCTGGTAATCCTGGGGGTCCCCTAGGGCCCTAAAAGCAGGAAAGACCATTTAGGATTTAAGAATATTTTTCTTTACCGTAAACTTCTTACACTAAATTAATGGTTTTTATATTAAAGAGAAAACTCATATCCTACCTGCACACCTGCTGATCCAGTTGGACCTATAGGACCCTGCAAGAAAACTCCAAATAATCAGTAGTTACGCTTTTTGGGATAAAGGAGATGAACTTCATAAAAAATACTGAATGTGGAATATTAGTGCAGTTCACATTGCAAGAAAGACGTGTGCTAAGGTTTGGCTTTAAATCCAAATCTAATTTTGCCAAAATTAGAGAATTCAAGATTTTGCTGAGGCCCATTTTTAAGGGCAAGTAATACCAAAGAATAATGATCTGTGGTGAAACTTGCTATTTAGCTAGGAGGTTCATAAGAAAAGCCGATATTCAGTTGAATGAAAACAAATTAGATTATTTAAATATAAATGGGTAATTATAAAATTCAGATTTGAATAAATTTTAACTGAATAAATGACTTTTAGGGATTATTATTTTAGATTAAGATCTCAGTATGAATATCTAGTCACCTTTCTCAAACGTTTTCCCTCTGTACCTGAGTCCTGTCAATAAACTGAAATGTATCAGCTGACTATATTGGTCTGGACTGAAGAGAGATTGCCCTATTCACCACAGTAGAACTCATGTAGTAACATTTACCACCTACCATCTACACCATCAATACCAGCAATTTTTTTACTGAATTTTTTACTGCAGATAGCTTTATTTAAAGGCAACAGAAAGAAAGAAACCTGGGAAACAAGCTGAATAACTGAAATAGTTATTGCTGTAAAAGTTATTTAGTATGAATACTCTAGATACACTGCATCAACTTTTTCATGCTTGAATCTAAACTGCACAGAAATGTGTGAAGCAAGTTGTGCAAAATCAGGACTTTACTATTTCCTGGCATAGTACCTAGCACTGTAAGGTTCTCATTTATAAGCAGTAGACCTAAGCTTGTAATTAGCAGTCATCACAAATGCAAAAGCTGGGAGCTGACGGAAAGCCTTCCACATCCTGGGAGAAGAGGAGGCTGAGGGGAGACCTTATCGCTCTCTACAACTACCTGAAAGGAGGGTGTAGTGAGGTGGGGGTTGGTCTCTTCTCCCAAGAAGATAGCAATAGGACGAGAGGAAATGGGCTCAAGCTGTGCCAGGGGAGGTTTAGGTTGGATATTAGGAAAAATGTCTTCACGGAAAGGGTGGTCAAGCATTGGAAGAGGCTGCCCAGAGAGGTGGTGGAGCCACCATCCCTGGAAGTGTTCAAAAAGCGGGCAGATGTGGCACTTTGGGACATGGTTTAGTCTAGTCTACCCTTGATTGGTTTAGTGTGGACTTGGTAGTGTAGGTTAATGGTTGGACTGGATGATCTTAAAGGTCTTTTCCAACCTAAACAATTCTATGATTCTATGATTCTATCTCTTCCACGCATCTTTTTCTTTTCCAGCATCAGCACGGATTTCAAAATGCTGTCACCTACAACATCGAGTATACCTCTTCTCTTGTACCAGTACAACCAGTACAACTTCAAACAACTGTTGCTTAGAAACAGACAGTCTGAAGATGTCTCAACACCATCCCTAGGAAGCTCATCTGTAAAGTAACCATTGACCCTTTCAGTTCTCCAAGGCTTCCATTTCTCACTTACCATTAGATCTTTCTGGGTCTGGATAAAGGGAAAAGGTGCTGAGTTGGGAGTCGAGTCAGAAGGGAGCTCATGCCATGGCTTTTTACTATGCTTTGGTTACCTGTTGCAGTTTCTTAGGGATGCACAGTGAGAAGCCCAAATTCTGGCTGTTGGCATACTTACTGGTGATCCCTGAATGCCTATTCCAGGGGGCCCCATCTCCCCAGGTGCTCCTTGTACACCAGGTAGTCCTCTTTCTCCCTGAGAAGGGTACAAGGCTTTCAGTTACAGCTGGTCTGAAAACGTAAACTAGCATATTATGCTTTTTTGTTTAGAAACAGAAACAATATCTTTTTTATACCTTTGGTCCCCGTGGACCTGGGTTTCCAGGAATACCAGTGGGACCCTAAAAAAAAAAAACAAAACAAAAAACCACCAGGAAAAAAACAAATTATATTTTGAAATCAAAGAGAACTAGCTGAATTTTATTGCCAAAATTAGTCAGCCGTTATAAATAAACTGACAGATGTACATATGTCTTCCTTGTTAATACCACTGTCAGTAGGAGCATGTGTGAACCTTGCACTATTTCTAGACTATATCTTAGTGCACTTGCAACACCACTATAACATATATTTCAATTTTGAAATTACATCCAAAAAACTACTTGTTCTGATTTCTTTCATTGCACAGTGAGAATTCTTTAACAGTTGTCCCTACAAGAAATAAAGTCATAAAAGCCTTTTCAGATTATGCACTTACTGGTGTTCCAGGCAGACTTGGTCCAGGAGGCCCCACATCACCTTTTGGACCTGGATGGCCAGGTGGTCCCATAATCCCACCAGGGTCCCCCTACAAGTTAAATCTGAATCACTAATTGAAATGTGAAAATTTTCTCTTATGAAAAAACTCTAAATATTACCAAGGTTATCCTAGAAAGTGCCAGTACTTTGAGAAGAAATAGAGAAGAAACACCCCCCATGATTTTCTTCAAAAAATTACAGAAGACGAGGCATGGACCACACAACCACTAATAGTAACTAGCATTCTCTTGGTTTTCCATGCTTGCAATGTGTCTGCTTTACATTTCTTTGTCCCCAGGTCCCTAATACGCAGGTTGTCATTAAACCCTGCCAATTAATTCACAGTAACAGCTCCAAACTGTCTCTCTCCAGCTATCTATCCCTAGTGCTAAAACCCTAGTCTTCACTGTATTCCTGTTTACACCTCTATTTCTTGCTTCAATGCCTGCAGCATCTCTTGCTCCACATCTCTACAACTCCTCCTGCTTACACAGGTGAATTTGTGCCTATTATGCTGTCCTCTTATCTTTTACACACTTCTGCATCATCCTCTGTGATTCTTTCTGAATCCACTACTTCCCATTTTGCAAGACAAATACGCTTTTGTCATTGTTTGACAGTTATTTTCTTCTCCTGTCTTTTCATCAGCTCACTTCTTCAAACTATTAATGGATTTTATTAGCTTCCCTTGTACCCCACAATTTATAAATACCACAACACATCACATGGCTCACAGTATGCCTGTATATCCACTTTTCTTCCCTTCGCTACATTCAACATATACACACATACCATTTTTAACTCTTGCTGATGTAGCTGAATTCTAAGGGATTTCTACACAGCAAAACACAATGCCATAAAGAGACCCCAGCCTTGGCTCATATCTGAGAGTATAGCTGCCCCAGTGCTCTGCCAAGGTGAATATTTCTGTCTGTGAAGTGGGATTTTACAGATTAGTCTGGTTAGGATACTACACTGACAAGGCTGTTCTGTGATCAAGGACCTGAACTGACATTTCTGCACTGCACAGATATAATGTAAGAGCCCAATGCAACCTCCTTGAACTATTACTTAATTTATGAATCTAAAGAGCAATTGGGTTGCCAAATTGGCCTGTAGCATCTCCGAGGAGCAGACAAGGGGTTGCTGCTTGTACATTTTAAAATCAATTCATAAAGCAGCCACACAGATGCACTACAGAAGGATGGAAGGTTACTTCAGAGATGACAGTCTAATATGCTCTAACATATCAAGCTTAATTAAAACCACTTAAAACATACCTTGTCTCCTTTAACTCCTGGGTTTCCTGGTACCCCATGCTCTCCTGGTAAGCCCTGGAATTAATAAAAATATAACTGTGCATTTTTATAGCTATTCCCTTAAATGTTATCTAAAATTACAGATGAAAATGAGTTTACGCTGGATTATTCACTGTGCATTAGTCCTGACCCAAAATGTCAAAGTGTACAAGTTAGTGAATGCTTCTTTAATCAAATATATCAATCATTTTTCTTTAACTTGAAATGTAATAATCAAGATTCTTTTCTGGACCCTATCAGGGCAGAATGGCAGAGACTAACAGGTTTATTTCTACAATTTCAAAATAATTCCAAGTCTTGAAAATCAATCATTTTTTCAAGGAAGGGAGTAGCAGGCACAAACTTGAGTTTTAAATGTGTCTCATCTTTTTTGCCTATGAAGGGCTGCATGATTTCTTATACTCATTAATTATTCAAATTTGTATCTTAAAAGCCTCAATGAATTCCTTCTCCTGCACATTAATCCACCAAATTCCTTTAAAATGTTTTAGATATTTAATGGTCAGTCAAATATTTTCAGCAAAATAAATATATGCCATCCTTTCTTTTGTCTAAATCTTCTCATCTTTCACATTTTGATTTTAACTTCAGTATTTTCCCTTGCCTTTTTCATGAAGGATTTGTTATAAATGCAGAGAAATTAAATAGATTAAAATCTAAATAGAAACTAGTTAAATAATAGGGAAGGCTAAATTGTGTTCTCTTACTACACTGTAACAAATACAGAAAACTTTTTCTATAACCCTTCAATGCTATTCAACCAACTATTGTATCAAGCATTTTATTAAGAATATCAGTAATTTCCACAATAAATGATAAAATTGTGAAAACTTAACAGTAAAATCTAAGTATAATACTTCATCTGGAATGGAAAATGAATTTTCTAAGAAAAAGACAAACACATATTGTATTTATTTTTCTTCTCAATGTAAAACATAGTTTTGTGAACACTGACATATGAAGGATGACAACATTTTCATGCTGGTCGTCAGGGTTCAACAACTGCGTGTTCACTTTCTCTGCTGTATTCTGTCCTTAATACAGACGGAGAGCTACTTGTTTCACCCAACCATCCAAATGAAAAGCATAAGGAAAAAAAAAAGTACCTTAATGAAGAATATTCTGCTTATACCAACACAAAGTCATTATAAGAATATATGAAAGTTTAAATTCACTGATTATGGATCATGCATTTTGTCCTACCCTATCCCCTTTTGATATTGACATAAAATATATACAGCCTATCTTCTTTGCTAAGGATTTCTCCAATTTTTTTTTTTTTTTTTTGGTTGGACCAAGGTTAAGGTATATCTTAGGAAAGGAAAGAAGCAAGTCTTATCTGCTGGACAACTCTTCGATGATGTAAGTGGAAGTAAAACAATTTTCAACCTTTCATAATTTTCATCATGCTGCATAAGATGAACTATTATATTTGTTAATCCATAATGTTTCATCTCCAGAAGACAAAACAAAACAATGAGCCTGGAACTACATACATGTTTCTATAATATGTTTCAATATATGCTTTTATATACTAGAATTGTGTATACAAATACGAGTCTTCAAGATCATCTATATCTAGGATCTACATATATTATATATAGTATTTATCTGTTCAAGCATTGGAACAGGCTGCCCAGAGAGGTGGTAGAGTCACCATCCCTGGAGGTGTTCAAAAAATGGGTAGACATGGCACTTTGGGACATGGTTTAGTCTAGTCTACCCTTAATTGGTTTAGTGTGGACTTGGTAATGTTAGGTTAATGGTTGGACTGGATGATCCTAAAGGTCTTTTCCAACCTAAACGATTCTATGATTCTATGATGTCACTTAATCAAAGATCCAGCAGCAGTTTCCAAAGCAGCAATTATGAACTCAAGCAGATTGATGGCAACAGAAGCAAAACAGAAATGCAGTATTTTATTATCTTTCACAGTAAGATTGGGGATCTATATATAAACAGAAGCACAGCAGAAAAGGCTTACAAACTATTTTTATAGAAGACAGGTATATTAGACACAATTTAAAAAAATGTGTGCCTTAACTGAGTAGGAAAATAAGGTATAAAGAAATGGTCAATAAGTAACACAGTACAAAATGACTATATGCAGATTTGAATACTAGGGTTTTTTTTCCCTGCCAGGAGCTGAAGATGCTGTACTCCAGCAGTCACTTTGCTTATATGCCTAAGATTTTTAACAGGTCAACAATAAAAAGTCTGCCAGCTGTGTACCACTCAGAACTGTATTTTAATATAAATAAAGTATATGACTTAAAGTCTGTTCAAGTTAAGAGCTCTCTTCCACAAAGTAGTCTCAGAGCACATGTGGAAAGGCCTAAGTCAAAATGCAGGAACATCAGCTCCTAGATGCTTCTGTTTATAGAAATAACCCACAGAGCAAAGATCAAAATCCCGGTTCTTTTCAGGTGAATGGCTTAACTGCTAGGCTAAAGCCAAGCTCTCCATTGTCTGCTTTTCTTGGTCCACTTCTTGGATCTAACCACTCAAACCTCCAAAATGGTACTTAAAAACCATTTTATGGTTTGTAGAGGAAGGGAGGGAGGAGAACCAGGGACAGAGGATAGCTGCCACTTGTTAGGTTATATGACAACACCACTGTTGTGGACTGAAACCTAATTTCAGTTTACATGGGGGAGTAAGCAGAACATAGTTGCCTGCACACCTAAAAAGGGATTGCATGATAATTTGGGAGACAGGCAGCCACCTCCTCAGAATAGGCCTTCTGCTTTATTAGGGTGTCAAGTTGAATGCCCATGGAACTCTCAAGTTTAGTATAATGATCTGTAATAGTTTAAGATGTTTCCTAGAGTATTCAGACTGGATTGAAGTTTCACCTGTGCTCTTCCTGCCCAGAGGCACAAGGGTTACACGCATGCTGGATCTCGGCGGGGGGATCCCAACTGGCCAGCAGACCCATCAGTCTGTTACCCAGTAGCAGAATGGTTACAGGCACACTAAAACCCCCATGAAGGAGGCCCCCATCAGCTTGACAAACCCCAACCAGTTGGCACCTGAATGTGGGGCACCCAAAAGCATAATAACTACAGGCACATTAAAACTCTGCTGAGACCCCTCCCACAGCCTCGACAATCCCAACCCATCAGTTCTGCACCCACAGGCATAAAGGTTACGGGCACACTGCATATCTGATGAGGTGTCCTGTGCCCCCCACTCCTCCTGGAGGACCTCCCTCAACAGGCCATGATCTCAAGGTTCAGTAAACCATCTGTATCCTGCTTCTGACACCATCTGACAGCCTGTAGTGGATCTGGATATTGTGGTTTATTTAAGAACCACTGAGATGAGCACTTTTACCCTTCATGATTGTCTTTCACTCTCACTTGTTCCCCTGTTAGTGCTATGTTCATTGGATCCTGACCTCCCTTTCCAGCAGGGAGTTTGTTGCTCGTCCGGGATGGTTGGGCAGCAAGTTGTCTTGGTTTTGCATTGTGCAGCTACTCACAGTTACCAGTCTCAGGTGTTAGTGGCTAAGGTCCCTGGCTATTGTTTCCATGCATCTCCCTGATCTCCATGCCCTCACCCCACTTCCAGGACCTTTCCTCCAGCCAAGATCTTCCCCTTCTTTCTTGATAGAACACCTCTTTCCTTTCAGGAACACCTTCTATTTTGGCACCACTTCTTCTTCTGGGTACCCTCACCCCTCGGTTCTTGCCATCTAAATAGTCTACGTGCAGAAGCACAACAGGTGATCAGCCTCCAAATTGGTGAGTCTGTGTCATGTCTCTTTATTAACCGGAGACCCCAGGATGTGCCACTTTTGTTTAGTCCAGGTGCTATCAAAACTTAAAAGAAGTCCCTACTGTTGCATCTAACAAGTAGTGGCCTTCTGCTTGAGAGTTCAACTGTTCAGGTTTTGACATTCTCGCACGGACACACAAACACTTAATATCTGCCACCTGTCAGCGTTCACAAATTAAGCTATTTTTCACCTACGGCAACCATATAATGGCTTTAGGTACTTCATGACTTGTCAGTAAGCCTCTGCACAGTTAAATTGGAATATCAACTGACAATCATAAGAATAATCTCTCATTCCACTTTCTGCAGAAATATTTTATCAATTTAATCTATTGAACAGCAATTAAAAAAGGAGTTTTCTATTAAATTCTTTCCAACCAATACTTAGACTCTGGCTAAAGATTTTAATACTGTCCCTAGTTTTAACAGAATTATGTTTTGCTCTAAATATGAGTTTTACTCATAAATCTGACCATAATTTCTAAGATAATAAACATAATTGTTTATTCTGTTCACCTTATTAATCTTTACCCCTTTTACAGGAAGTGAAACAATTCAGAATAATGCAAACCCATAGACAGAAATAAGGAAGGCCATGTGTTTAAATCCTTGGGGTACTCTTACTTTCCCTGTTTCTTCTCATTTTACTCCACACACACTGTCCTTTCCAGCTCATGATGTAACATTATTAAAACTCTGCTAGAGATTTTTCTCATTTTCACCTACTCCTGTGAGATAAGAGTGATCTTTGTAGACCTAATTATCTGTGAATCAGACAAATTAGTATTATCATTCTTACTTATTCAGATGGTAACACAAGGACAAAAAGAACATAAGCAAATGGCAGAACTCTATCCTGATGCATCCCATACTACTGTGCTTTGACACCCGATTGCTATAGTACCACCCACAAAAGGACCACCTATGGTAACTTCTGTGGTACTGCTTCACTGGCTAACTGTTCACACACCACACTTCTACAGCCTGGTGAAACCGCACAATACGTACAACTTCTCCTGGCAGTCCCCTGGGTCCGACAGGTCCTGGAGGTCCTTGCAGTCCCTGTGAAATGACATAATACATGCTTGACGTAAAAGACAATACACCTGTTGTAATTCGGTGTAAAGCGTTCTCATATATAAATAGATTAAAACATCTGGCATTAAGAATTATCTTCTACCTGGAGTAAGAAGTACAGAGTTTACTCATTCTCCCTGAATCTAACATTTAGTCCAATAAATCTTTGGGACTGGTAGGTACAAAATCCAAAGTATGTATACAAAGCAAATACACATAAATACAAAGGCACTACCTAAAGGGAAAGACAAAACAAAAGGACTAAATCAAGATTTTATTCCTCAAGGGGCAGATCTAGAACTGATTTTTTAACTACGTGGTAGGTGTTACTTCTTTTTTTGGAATAGATCTCATCAGGACTCCAGAGCACTGAAAGAAAAGGGCATTGAGATGTAGAGGTAACAGGATGACTTGGTGCAAACCCTAATGATCCTTTGGATATCTGTGAGCCTCTTCTGGAAGGTATACACTGTGGAGGTGACCTAGATTTCCACTGCAGTAACAACAATTATTTTAGTAGCTCCTACCAAGGACATTAGCCTCCAACGAGCAGTTTAAAGAGTTAGAATGGAGAATCTTTTTTAAGACCACAATTTTGTGGACCCTGTAACTGCATCTATTCCCCCTGGGACTTCTTTTGATGATCTAAGGAACTTGGGTACTATCATACCCAACATGAATACTGTTGGGTGGAAGTTACATTTTCACAGTTTCCAATTCTACCTTTATTTGATACAATTCAAGGCATCATGAGAGATTCTCAGGAACATTTCTGCTTCAGTTACTTTCTTCAAGGCAAGTCAATGACTACTTTGATATTACCTGCAGTCTCATAGGATTAAACACAGGAACTGCTAATGTACTGGCAGTGGTTACTCCTTACCTCACTGATGGATAAAAAGAATACACCCAGCTACCGGTGGTTTTGTAATTGCAAAATGGGTGCTCATATTCTTGAGTGACCAAGTAACATTTGAGCTTTGCATAAATATTCCTTGCTGAGTGATGCTGAGATCAACAAGAATTTTATGAACTAAAGGTAAAATAGCCATGATCCATGCACCAGCTTTGAAATAAACTATTTGCATTCTCTGCCCTTTAATACTAGCTAAAGGGTTGATAGCATTCAGAGTCCTCTTATATAACAGCGTAAAATGTAATGGCTGTTAATACCACAAAAATGCTTTTCACCTACCTTTGATCCTGGATTTCCAATAAGACCAGGTGGTCCAGGGTCTCCTGTTTCACCCTAATGATATTGTTTGAGAAAAAAAAAAAAAATCCAAATTTACTGTTATGTCTCCCAGCGTCAACTATGTACACTAGTGACATACATAGGGTGTACGAGTCAAAAATTACCTTATTTCCTTTTGATCCCTCCATTCCAGTTTCTCCCTGAAAATAGCAGGTACAACCATAAGAAATTAAAACTTTAACTAAGATCGACTGAGAGTTTAATTTGCTACCTTAAAATATTATAATATTTTATAA